AAACAATTTTAAACATAAGGCTCTTTTGAATTACAACCTACTACAAAGAAGATATTAAAAGAAATTATCCTTAAACTTGACTAAAAAATGAAAGGGTGATGGGCGTGACCAGTGAGATTACGCCCCTATTGCCTATTATCAGTGCTTTGTTCTAGGTAAAATTTCCTTAGGAAATATTATCTACCCCTTCATAGCGCTTTTAATCCATTTTTAGACGAAATATCTAAACCATGTTCTGACCCTTTCTGTGGTGTGTTACAATTGCGATTGCATCTATCAAAATTCTATGAAAATAAAATAATTGATAGGTTTATTTGACGTTGTCACTTTTCAAAGGCAATGAAACAAAACTGGACAACATTGGAACATGAAGCACTTGAAGGCTTGACAACATATTCTTGCAAAGTGTTCCACAACCTTTTAGTGTACCTGTTTTTCTTTTTCACATCCCCTCAGACGCTGTTTAATAAATGTCTCTAAAATGCAAGCAAAAGTGCAATTGTACAATGGCCTAAGATAAGCTGTATCTCGCTCGTTAAAATTAATCAATGATTTATGCCTACTGAATTAATTTTTTAGCTGCCCCTGCAAAAAAGTACAATTCGAGTGATACCCATAGCTTAGTGCAAAGAAATGCTTAAAACCTAAACCACTTCATGTAGGCTAACTCTTAAGATATCGTGAAATAATTGTTGAGTTAATCTTTTTTAAAAACTGATTCGGGTAGCCTTTTTAACAAGATAACCATGCTTATGTTAAAAGTTAAATTTTAAATGCCAGTGTTACAATATGTGATTAGTGAAGGCAAATTTTTATTAGAGAGCAAATTTTAGAGAGCAAAAATGCACGAAAAAGGCTCAATGAGCTTTGTTTCGTTATTCACAATGTCCAAATTGGTGATGGACGCAGACTACATATTGTCTGTTTTGGATCTGATAATAGTAGGGGACTTTCTTCTTATTGTCTTGGCTTAAAAATTTTCTTTAATATGTATCTTTGATTTTCTACTTCAAGGCAGCAATTTTGGGTTACAAATTCCTTGGATCTGTAGTTCGAATCAATTATCATAAATGGAATTTGATTTGCTTTTCGACTAAGCTATCCCAACTCCCCCTTGACGACGCCCCTGACTAAATTCCTAGTTTTTATTGCACCATGGCAGCTCTTAATCCTACTTTCGTGATAGGAAACTAAGCCAGTTTTGAAATCGCTTATAGTGGTAACGAGTTTCTTGCGAGCATTTGCATAGGCTAGTACGGTCTTTAGGAATGTGGCAACAAAGTTTAGATATCACCAAAAATATTTTTTTGGAACTCCGGAACAAATTACAGTGATTCTATGAAGAGTGTCTGTGCACATGTCTAACACATGTAGCTATTTCTTTATGCTCTTTAAGTTATGTGACCCAAATTTTGATATTTTAAACGCTTATTGCTTTTGACGTCACAACTTTAAAGCTCTATTTAGGTCTTAAAATTCTTCAGCTAATATTTGAATAAAATACAAACTCTAAATCAAAATCTAACGCAGACACTCTTGTCCGCTTTTGTTATGCATTTTATCATTCTGATAATGCGATTCAGCTAACAGAAGTACAATAACACAATCCTGATTTTTAGTAACATAGCAACCTATTATAATATAACATAGTAACATAGCAATTTTTAGTACATAACCAAAACTTCAAAAGCAGAAAAAGATGAAATGAAGGAAAAGAATTTTTGTTAGAATGAAAGCAAGCAAATACTGATAAAATGATATGAACAATTATTCTTGATCATGAAATGCAATCATAAAACAGTGAAGGGACAGTGTCCCTTGCTTTCATATATTGCCATCAGTAATATGCTTCAATTTTCTTCCATTTTTTATTTTTATCACTTTTCATTTGAGGTCAGTCCCTCTGATTTTCCTTTGCTGCAAATGTACCACCACTTCTCTATAAATGTACAACCATCGTGTTTTATAAATAAAACAAAAGCATCAGGTTTAGGAAAAGATAGGTATTTAGTTCATAAATTTTCTAATTTTTTTTTTTAAACATCTAGCTGAAACTTTTCAAAATAATACATGCGAAAATGATAAATTTTTATCAAGTCAAGAGGAAGGTGAATTGGTCGAGTGTATTGACAAAAGCGTTTGAGAGATTCTGCTTCAAGAACATGAAGATGAAAACCCATCATAAAGGAACAAGGTGGAAACCAAGAGAGGCCTGGGGGTCATATGCCCCTAACAAAGTCAATTTTAAGTGTTGTACCTCTCCTTTGCAATTTTTCCACAAGAGATTTTGTATTTTAAAAGCCATATTGCTAACATTTGCTGTCAGGCTAAGTGAAACAAAATCTGCATTCCCTATGTTTCAAATGTTGCCCTAAAAAACGCTGTATATTTCCTAATTTTTGCTTTTTCCTTAAATTGCTGATAAAGTTATAAGTTAAAACTATAGCCACGCATGTTTATTCATAGAAAAATAACTATATCTATTTGTTTAAATCCCAGTCATATTCTTCTCAAATTTGATGTTTAGCACCATTTCTTGGCTAACATCTTTTTACAAATTATCGTTAGAAGACTTCTACTTTTGATTTTCATAACTTTCCTCTTGATTCTTCTTTCAAGAATATTTTTTAGATTTACAATACAGCATCAGCACATGTGCGTAACCCTGAAACCATTGCATGTGCAGTTGGATAGTTTAGGGGTAAACAGTTAGGGGGTAACTGAAAAGTTACCCCGAAATAGTCAGTCAGTATTTTTTGCTTCATTTGACGCAATCGGTCAACTTTTCACTCCAACATGGATGTCTGCTTTGTTAGCCGCAATAGAAATAATGTCATCCACATAATTAAAGGGCGTGGCTCTGTTCTAAAGAAGCTATCTTTTTTATCCTCGAGTCAAGTTTTGTAGTGCGATAGTATTAAAAAAATATCTTATTGATAATAGGTAAGTTAGCTTAACACATCAAAAATTTATTTTACCAAGTCTCTGGCTGGAAATTTCACAAACTTATCACTATAACTATGGTTTCCGTGGCTCGCCTTTAAAAATTTCTATTTTTGGAAATTTTTAATTTAACAGATTAAATGGAAACTTATACTTTTTTATCCTTGAGTAAGATAAGAAAAAGAAAGAAGCCTACATTTGCCATAAATGCAAATTTTTTCCAGGTAGGTTTGGGATTATGTTGTTGTTTTGATATAGCAGTCTTCATGGAATGGGTGCTACCTTGATATGGACAAATTTGGTATTCCCTCCCAAAGGTGCAAAATGGTGCAGAAATTGACGAAGACCTAAATAACGGCATAAGACTCCTCTATTTCTCTAGGCGCTTCGCTGACCAACTGACGACTGTCAGCCAACTGACAAAAATGGGTTTATAATGCACCCCTATGTAATTCCAAAAGAAAACAAATAGAAGTCAATGATCAATTAATATTCTCTTACTTTTTTTAACAAATGATCAGTTTATATTCAATGTTTTCGCATTTTGATGCTGTGGTTGAGGACCGTTCTGATCTGGGACATTGTTTGCTGATTATATGTGCGCAAAAAAATTGTAACTTTTGAAAACTAGTTGATATTGACATATACCTAAGTATGGGCTTATTATCTTGCGTATAAGACGGCTTCTTGAACTAATTCAAGGTTTGTTGTGCTCGTTTTTTACAGCCTGCTGAATGAGGCTTCGATATAACTGTTGACCTTTGCATAGATCATTATCTTTGAGATGTTCGCATCGATCTGCAACCTCGCGTAACTCAAAATCAGGAGCAGTGGATGCACGAACATTTCTTGTCTCATTGTCACTGGCTCAAAGCTGACAAATTCTCCAATTTCACCAAGAAAATGGTTTCTCGCTAAAAGTTTACCAAAGGAGCATTTTGTTGAGTCAATTTTTCTTAGCCCTGTCTTTTTTATGTTCACTAAAGTGAACTTCAGCTACTCAGCTACGCTGTATCTTTCAGTACTGAATCCTATATTGTACAATCACCCATCCCTCTCCAATTAGATGGTACTATGGTGATCAGTCCAAGTTCACGTTCTTACAGCTAATAAATTCTAAAAAATAGGGAGGGGGGTCGACCTTCAAAACCCTTCAAGAAGGCGAATGAGTACAGAGATATAAAATGGGTCTCAGTGATATGATTTCTACCCTTCAATTTGGGGTATTAGCTTGTTGCTGAAAAAAAAACCCAATCTGCAAAACGCACCCACGGGACACGGACCAATCACGGTACTGACTTGAACTGCAAGATTAACGTATTTGTGCAGTGATTGAAATACCTTAGAATATTGCCTGCTTCTACTATATATTTTGAGACTCTTGCTATTTTAATTGCAAATAAAAGCATTTTAGTGGGTGTTACCCCAATGGGGACCAACTCTCGACAGAAGAGCCCATTCTAATTCTAACATCAGTCATCTTTAGCATTGTCACAAACGTAGGCCTTTTGAGAAAGTTTATATTTTGGTGACTGTTTGCTACTTTAGAGCTGCTGCTTATTCTCAGTGGCTGCCAGTGGTGACGCCAGCCATTCAAAGTAGGGTTGGCAAACTGGGGATAGGGGGAGGGGGGTTTCTCAGGATCACGCCCTTTAAAGAAAATGTCTCTTCCAATAGAATACCCTTTTATGTACTGTTTAATAAAAACCCTGCTAGAGCAATGTAACTCATTAATCGACCACAGATTATGACGATACAGGCCGTTCACACACATAAACAACGCCTTTTAGACATTTGGTGAAGCGTACTAATGCATATGCAAGATTGGACTTTGATTTATCGATTTTTGACCAAGATAAATAAGATCATCTAAACAAAACCTTCATTTGTAGATATGCAAACTTTTTGGGTTCTGGAGGCGTATCTCTTCGGCAGGTCTGTTACAAAATGACATATAGTTCGCATGACATTTCTTTTATTTTGCATCAATGATAGAAAAATGATAAAAAATTGTTAGCCCATGGAGGGCATAGAGGATTTTTAAATAAAGAATGCCATTAAACAACAGTTGTATAATCACTTACAAAATGCAACGTTCGACAGGATTATAACTGCATTCACATTGTGTAGATGGTAACGTACTGAAGTTTAGCTGGACACTTACCAACAAAGAACACTGACCAACTATACAGAAAACCAATTGAAAAATCCCCTTTTTGCAATGCGTGTGATAATGCCAGCGTTACAAATTTTTACAACATAACTGCCATCGTAGCAGTAGTCAAATGACTTACATACGGGGCAAACTGCTCTTTTATAAATTTCACTAGAAAATTCACAGTTATTATATTGCAATACAATTTTCATCCTTCTGTTATCCTTTAAATATCAATTCAAAGCCTTTCTGCTAATATGATCCATTGCTTTGGCTAATTCATCATAAACTCAAAAGTAAAAATAAAGTACTCCTCTCCATGAAAATTTATTTAAAAAGACAGCAAAGGAATCTGAATTTTATCAGTTCCAAACTTCAGAATTTTAATGACTCTTATTGTAAGAAATGCTATTGGTTAATGATCTTATGTAGGATATGGCCTTCGCAGAATTGTAGGATATGGCCTTAGGATATGGTCATCACCAGAAGAAGAGACTATAACAAAATGGCCACAATAAAATGTCCCAGAATACTTCTATTTCATTAAGTTAAAGTCAGCAAGCTTAATACTACAAATACCTCTAGTTTAATTACCTTCTAAGATTACCTTCTAGATTCTTTAATACCTCTTGTTTAATGAAACTCATATAGGACCAGAAATGAGATTCCTAAAAAATATAGTGCGTTTCTTCTTTAGAGAAAAAAATAAAAATCGTAATAAATTCATTCACCGATGTGTTTGCATCTGAATCTACTGAATCTACGCTTCCAGCTCCTTAGATACTATTCGGTCTGTAGGCACGAGGAGGTAAGGCAGGACACTGTTGTGTTGGATGGCCCATATGCACTGTGCTTTGATTGTAAACTGGCTGCCAAACTGGAACCAATATAGTTTGCGGTACTGAATGGTGGTAAGCAAGTGTACCTGGAACACCGAGGCTGTTCATTGGAAGGTTGATTTGATCGAAGCCTCCATTCACTGGAACATAACTAGTAAATTCAGTTTGGTGATGTGGGAATGAAACTGAGCTTCTCATTGGAAACTGTGTTTGATAAAAACCTGGATTGACTGCACTTGGTTGGGGGTATGTGCATAAAGGGATTTGGACAGATGGTATATGATTTGCAAACCCAGAGTTGGTGACGTAAATCGGATCGACAGGATTGCCAAGCATCAATGTGGCTGGTTGGTCAATAAGTTCAATATTTCCTATCTGAATATCACCGTTTTGTGTATTTGTCCCATTAACTGGCTCGCTGTCGGATCTTTGGTAAGAGCGTTCGGCCCTAGTTGATTTTTCATCAATGCGCTGTCCCATACTGTCTTGCAATTCTTGCCGCTCTTGCTCAAGTCTTTGCTGTTCAAGTGCCTTTCCAAATGCTAAAAGGTACTCTTTTATGTGGAACGGTGGGTGATAAAACTTGCATGTCTCCCGGGTGCATTTACCCTTCAATGAATCATAGCAAACGGTTAATTTTCTATTTTCAACGATGCATTCTTTTCTTGGATGAGCAAACCTGCATTCTGATTCTTTTCTTTTGCATTTTCCTGCTGCAAAATCTCGACAAATGTCGATTCTCAGCCACCTAGGATCCTTGACTTTTGTCCCCGGAACCATTTTTACTCCTTTTGTCCTATGGCCTTCGTTGTTTTCACCGTCTTCTGAAGACATTTCAAATCACGTCTTAGGCCAAGTACTCATCGGGCCTAAAAGTAATCAGTGAAAATTATACAAGACTCGTAGGAAGATCTCAGCAACACAAGTAAAAAGTAGTTGGAATTGTACCGAGAATGAGAAAAATAAAGGTATCCATTTGGCCTCTATAGGGAAAGCCAATGGATCTTTGTGCTTGTGCCAGAAGGATTTCTCCTCCACAGAGGCTTCTAGGGGATCCAGTCCCAGAGAATCCTTCAAAATAGCATTTCATTACAATCTGTTAGAAAGTTTTTCAACCAACACATTTTTCTGGAAGATCAAAATATTCTACTCTGATTAACAAAAATCTCCTTCTCTTACACAATTCAAGTTTATCGCTCTTATCGTGGTTGCAATGATTGGAATTCGCTCAAAATTCATGGTTTATTGCTAACATAAGAATTTCAAAACAGTCTGATATGTGGAGTGTTATACTTGAATAAAAAAATACTTATTATGATATGCATGGCATTTGATATGTATGGAAAACGATAGATGTCATAAATGTGATGTCACAAACAAATTCAAATACTGAAAAATAAAACTTGTTAAGTAGTAAACAAATTCCTTACGATAATTCATAACACACTGGAGAGATGCCCTAAAAAATTTAGCCTTGAGCTTTAATCATTATGAATATATCTCAGTAAAAAGTGGAGGGGCATGGCGCCTGTCCAATCTTCGTAATAATATAACATACATTATGATATATATGGGTCTTTATACAGTCTTAAACATACAATTATCATTACGTATATGCATTGACAGTGTTCCTTGCCCTTTAATTATTTTAAACAATTTTGCATGCTTTCATTTGATAAGTCATTGCATTTGAATAGTAGTCTGCGTTATAAAATATGGAAAATCTTTAATAAAATGTACATAATCACTAAAAACAAACTAATTTAAAGATAAGAAATTTACAAAAGAATAATTCATTGTAGGGTAATATCTTGATTGAAGAATGTTTTGAATTGGGTGACATCAAATGTTGAAAATTGTCCCGCAAATAAATGGTCTCTTTGATGAAGATATTTATGCAATCTTAGCAAGAAAGTAAATGGAGCTCTTAAGAGTGACCTCATTATTTTTAGAATTTTTTATTTTGACCATTTCACATAAAAGAAATCTATGAAATACCTCTAAGTATGCAAAGTCAGGTAAATGTGTCAAATACCGGGTGAGATATGGCCAATAAACGATTTGAAGTTTGCTAACGGATCATTGTTATTTTGGCTCTGTTCATTAAGTTAAGAATAGAGACCAAGGTACAGAGGTTTGATTGGGAAAGAGGTCTTCTTATGGAAATGGCTTTGCTAAGCAATTTGAAAGCACCTTTGTTTTGCTTTCCTTCCACTTTCTGTTTTTTGTCCAATAGAGTTTCCAAGTTTGACGTCATGGGAAAAAGCATTTAGGATGATTAACTATTGACCGCAAGCATCCAAAAGAACGCCATAAAATTCTCCTTAAAGTGCAAAATCGCTAAAAAATGTTTGAAATTTGATTATGGCCAATAGTAAATTGGTAAGACATATGACAGTTATTTTGGCCCGCGCTCATGTTCCAATTATCTCAGTAAATTTGAAACACACTTTACTGCTTTCGTATATTTCAAAATATCTAGGTTGTGTCATTAAATTTCAATTGTTACCTTACGGAATCGTATTGAAACACTGAGCAAATTTTCTTGGGAAGAGTAAAAGTCAATATTGGTAAAACAACGGAAATTTTTGGCAAACTTCTAAGAAACAAGAAAAGAAAATTCTCTTTTTGGGGGCAGGGGCGGACATGCCCAATTCACGGGATGGACTGGGGCGGACATGCCCAATTCCCTTTTTGTCAATATTGATTTTTTGCTATCCAAAATTAGCGAGAAAATGGCGGGGGAGGGGGTGAGATGTGAAATTTTGACTTTCCTCTTGAAAATTAATTGATAATTAACTTCGAGTTTGCAGAGCAGATTTAAACATTGCCAAACGGTTGTCTAAAACTTCCATTTTGAAGTGTATAAAAAACATGTTTTGATAAAATGATATGCTAAAAATAAATTCGAGAATGAAACAACTCTTGAATCACTGTTTTCTTTGAAATACCTCAAAAAAGGACTTGGGCAAGCCCCTCCCTGAAGCCCAGCCTATATTTCTTGTTGGATCTGCCCCTGCTTGAAAGGCCTTGAGGGTTTCAGAATAAGCTACACAAGCTAGGCAGTTTATTTTCTGTATTAATTTATTCCAAGCGTTGTGCGCATTTATTTATTTCAATTTGCGTCACATCAGATCAAAAGAAATTTGCTTCTGATGAAATTGGAACTTTTCCCTTCAAAGATGGAATGAAGTTTAGAATAAGTCTGATTCTACTGTCTGGCTAATATGATTGTGTATGTAGCAACATACATTTAGACAAATTTTTGCTATGAAACCACAGTCCTGTAAAGTCAACTTTAGATGTGCAAAACTGAGGGGGGGGGGGGGGTTCATTGAATAAAGTGCGAGACAGACGAAGATACGCATACACAAGTATACAAATATCCAGTAAATTTTGAAGTGAACATTGCTGTGATTTGAAACAAAACCACGTCTTGCTGCTACTCTAAAGACGAGGAAACGAAGTTTATGGCAAAGTTCAAGGAACATATTATTAAGTAGGAGTCGAGAACTCAACAATCTTCACCAAAAAACAAATAGATGAGTTCATTTTGACCTTTACCGAGGACACCAAAATGGTCAAAAGTCAAAACTACATTAGAGATGCCAGTGGTAAAATCCACCACAAAGACGTAAAGAGAGGAGGAGGTAGAACTCTCTAAGACAAGTCGGAAAACGCACTTTTACTAACAGGGATCTCTAACTTTTGGTTCCTTATAGGTAGTTTCGTAATCTTGGAATCACATGACGAATTATCCTTCGCCATTATACTAGCCCTAACCTAACCATCTCAAAAGATCAATACGAAATACAACATCAATCATGCTTACAGACGTGTCCACTAACATGGTTCCCCCCGGTCCGGTGCTCCCTCACATCCCTCCCAACAACGCCTTGAAAGATGCCAATGTACATGTCCATGAACATAACTTTGGACCCGCAGCATACGGAGGAAGTTTGAAGAAACTTTAACGGAAAATCCGTATCTTCGATAACGTGTCCTTGCACTTCTCAGAATTTTCCTATTACCCAAGAAAAACTTCCGCATGTCTTGATTCAAAAAGCTACCTCGTATCACTTCCCATTTCCTTCCAGTACGAAAACTATTTCAAGCACGCGATATGACGTAATTTTTCATAATTACGCTAGACTGCATTTCAAGGTACCAATAACGTCACGTACTGGTCATTAGGGTATTCTAATGGCCAATTCTGAGTTATTCTCCAAATCTTCGAGATACGCTATAAATAGTATGGCTATTTTCAATAGATTATGGGATGAGAAAAAATTACTAAACAATATCTTTATAAGGGTTGGGCCATTTTTCGAGGGCCGAATGTTCTTTTCTTGCGATAGTTTGTGGCTCATATGTTCTTCATATTTCAATATTGATTTTCTATACGACCCTATGCTACAAATTTTTTCTAAGATCACAAAATAAGATTTTCTTATGAAATATTAAACAGCATGATGTTTAAGTTGATAAAATCTGCTCTGATTTGTCATTATGAAATGAAATTGCTTTTTAACCACTGTTTTATGAAATTTCAAATATAAACATATTTATCCTTCCAATTTTTCAACTGAAACTTAGCAAGTTCTTACGTTGCTTTTATTTTTTGATAAATCGAAACAAAGTGCTTTTTGCTCTATAAAATAAGAGTGTTAGTGACAAAAGGGCAGTAGAAACATAAAATTGACAATTTTATTTTGCTAAAGTCCATGAAAAATGCTCAATATCGCTTACATTTCAACTAACAGTCTTTCTCAAGTCAAATTTTCTCAAAATTACTATCTTTTTTAGGCAGCAAGAAGATTATTTCTATTTTTAATATCTAGAGAGGCATTGATATGGAAAAAACGTACTTAAAAAATATAAAAGAGGATTTCAACGAAGCTGCAAATATTCTTTGTAAAAAACCACAATATTTATTGAGTTCTACACTGGATACCAAAATATTGATGTGCTTTTCTAGAAAAAGGGGAAGGGGTAAAACGTTTTTTGGAAAGACTTCAACCCAGCATTGGCGTAAAAGATTGATAAAATCGAGCCATTGATTGTGAATATATTGTACTTTTTTCATTTCTAAGTGATAATAAAATAGCAGTAGTCAATCACAGGATTGCAGTGATAACCTCAAATTTGAGCAGTGGCAATTTGAATTCTACCAAACGCTTGCAAAATATAGTGTAAAAACTGACGATGAAAATGTTATATGAACCAAACTAAGTACCTCTGTTATCCATCCAGGGGATTATACTCTCTTATAACAACCAGACAATTTCTTCTCAGGCTCGATGTATTTTGACGATTTGAGGCTTCAGTGTTCTTATTTCAAATTTGGTGTTTTACAACTAGAAACCATAAATTCTTTCAAAAACCCCCAAGAAACAGTTTTGCATAAACTTTTCAGTGGCAGCCGAGAAAGTATGCTCCGATTAGCTAACATGCGAATAATATTTTCAAAATACGTTCCTTTTCCTATAATTTTTCATCTCAGGCTGGTGATATTTTTAGAATACCTTATCTTCATGGGAAATTGAGGCTTGGTGTTCTTATAAAAAAAGTGCATCGACGCTGAAAGGAGTACAATAAATTGTGCGGGCAGAATTGTTTTCAGGTGCTAAACTCGAAATTGTGTTTTTGGTTTTTTGCCTTCAACTGAGAAAATAAAACAAAAAGAGAAAAAATCCAACTTTCGTTTTCTGTCCCTAATGATTTTGAGGAAAAAAACACAACAACGAGTCGTAAGCAGGAGGCTTTAGGTATAATTTCTCAAATTCAATGAAATCTTTTGGGAATGATTAAAATCGCTGCATTAAAGAGATTTGTTTGTAAACACAGGCAACTGTGTTCTGTACTGGAAAACCTAGCTTGTTGAAATAAGATAAAATTGGCATTCTTAATGTCAAGTTTAAGATAATAAAAAATAGTATTTTGATCATGAGTCAGGGTCGGATGGGGTGAGATTCCCCTTAAAATAATTTTGTTTCAAAGATGGGAAGCTTTTTGCAATCTAGAGCACTTTTCGGCGATTATCCAAACTTTTCCGCCAATTAAGGATGGTTCACCCACTCCGTCTGCAAATAGGACCTGGATACCCCAGTTTTGTACAATATCTAGCGACAGCCCTGTCAAGAATATGTTTCTTGGGGGCTCGGGTGCATCAAAATCCCTCGCTATACCCCTCAAAATCTTTTATTTTCCTTTCGATATTGTTTACATACAAAAATAGACAGCAACTTAAAATAAATACTGAATTTGTACTGTTTCACCATCATTTCATTCCATGATTAGGCTCATATCTCGCCGGCCTTTCTTTAGGTCTCTGCAAATGCACCCGGCGCTAAGGATTTGCTCAGGTACGAGAGGGCGATAGGAATCATGGCTGCATTATCAAACCAGACATCAATCGATCACCGTTTGCTGAACAGCTTTCAGACGAAATCTTGCCTCGTTCACTATATAAAGTAAACTTTCACTTATGACCTTTAATCTTTTTACGTTGCTTCAAATCTTTTCAACGCAAGAAGGTCAAAAAAAAACCAAAACACTCGACCGATGAAAGCTAACGCAACAACAACAAACATAAAGCGTTGATCTCACCTCACTAGCTTTCTTGATGTTTTCACTTGCTATCATGCATCCACGTCTTGGAGAAACGAGTATGGAAATATTCAAGAACAATCTAGGACACAATATTTTCTGCACTCTGAATATCCACTACGTAATTCCACAACTCACATGTTTTGCAAGTGCCCCCTGTCCAGAAGATTCTCCTCGTTGAATGGGCTAACAGCTCTGGGCACCCTATGAGTCAAACGTGCGTTGTGGTTGTTTTGTTCCGGGGCATTCGAAGGCAAATGACGTCAGAAGTATAAACAAAACAAGATGAAAGAGCGCGTGCAAAAAGCTTGTAGGCGTTAAATTAGGTCCAGCCAGAAAGAACGGCGGACGAATGTCTGAACATCGGGTTTTCGGAAACAAAAGAATTTGAGCTTCAGCGTTTGTTTCATTAATGTATTTTTGGAATTTATGGGTCACTCTCATAAAAACGCGGTTTCTGGGTTGAATACTGCGTTGGATTTTGCATTTTATCGCAACTGCAGGAAATTTGTGGCAAACACGCCAATACGCACGAATACAATAGGAAAAAGTTTCCTGGAATATCCCTATACCGTTCTGTTAAGGCAAACTGGCCTGACAGAATATACAAGGCGCTGGTTACTAAAAAACAAATTCAGTGACCTACTGACAGAAAATCCTCAGTAAATGATTGCGTCCCATATAAGCAATCCTGTTTTGGGTACAAAGTCAATTCTCATTGATTCAAAGAAACTGGTGACCCGACCAGTTTCAAGGTCGGTTAGGACAGTTTTTGTCACACATCTTCAGAGTTTAAAAACAATAAAACAATCGTTTTGAACCCTTCAACTACCATTTAAATCCACACTAATACAAGACTCGTATCGACAATATCTGCGTGAACGACAAAGTATCTACAATGTTCCTTTGCATGTCTACCTCAAAATACCTTAGTTTTTGAAGATTGCTCGCAACTTATATCTTAATGATAAAGAAAATCCGCTGCTGTATACCAGAAACCACTGCCAATTTACTGCAGTGGGATTTCTTAAGAAGTCCAACTTGATTTTAAATCGTCTTAAAAGGATATCTTCTGCCAATCTGTTTTCATTACTTACTGTAAATGGTCATAGCATAACTTCTTTTGAAAAATACATCAAGTCATTTTTTGACACTAACTTTATGAAGATGAATATGATTTTGAAAAGGCCGCAGAAAAAGCAGTACACTGATATTCTAGGATTCCGAATCCATATGCTAACGTTTTTGTCTTTGCGAGGATCAACTTTGCGTTTTTACATTTTTACAAACAAATTTTAAAAACATAAACACTTAAAAATCAACGGATTAATGTCTTTGAGATTTTATTCATTCTATGAATTCTACAAATCTTTACGTGACAAAATTGTTCAACAGCTCCATCTTAAAGACCACCTAACTTATTTCAAAATAGAAAACTTTTCAAATTGGTACAATATTTAGTTCAAAGAAAAACTTCGCAGCAATTTCTGTGAAAATCCTACGTATTTGGCCAATATTGGATAGTATCAAGGTCTTGATATTTTAATGCAAATAGCTATATGCTTCTTTTTTACTAAATTGTCAATTACCAATGTTTTCCCATTACGTGATGCGGAAAACAAAATATACTTCTGATCAACAGAACTACTTACCATCGGTTGTTTGGTACTTTATTAAAATTCAATACATTTTGAGACTCGAAACGTAATTTGTTATGAATGATTGTTATGAATACACAGTGTATGTTACTTGCATAGCTACATATTCTACAAATTTTGAAACGAAAATTTTCATAAACCTATATTCTAACACGTGTGTGTGCGTTTGCTACCCTAAAAATGGGAGGAATAAATCGCATATAGAGCGTAATATCTGCATAAGTAAATGAATTAAATATCACTGAAATTATGATAAAAGTAAAATCTAATCAGCCAAATTATCTTCCCTAAAATAGGTGCCCTCAGTAGCAGAATTCTAAACATACCCTAATACTGTAACTCACAATCATAAAGGAATTCGGTCAACTTAATACCAACTACTTTTAGATGCTTAAATCTTGCTTAATATTACCAGCTTAATATCATCCTGATTTGTAATACTAATATATGACCTTTGAGCCTTTTGTATATTTTGTGGTACGAAAGTGGCTCAATTATTCTTCGGACGGCCTGTCTAGATACTCTTCTTCCAATAGTTTCGTCTTTGTTGTGAGTTCACTGTTTGCACTTAACAATAATCATGTCGCAATAAAAGTCAAACCTTTGATATCTGAATTATCCAAAGTCAGCATGTAAGACCACCTTTGTTAAAAAGAATGGGTTCTCAATTTCACTTGAAACAATGCTCAGTGTTTTCTAGCACCTTTTTCAAGAGGGTCTCACACTATGTTATCCGTTAACTTACACCGTATCGTTTGGGAATCGTTAATCACAAAATGAAGACGATTTCAGTAATAGCAATAAGAGCAGAAGGGACTACATTTGGTGCTTTAATACTGACTTCAAGGGACCCATTTACTATCAATCAGGTGTCAAATCCTGATTCTGTCAATGAAAGTTTTCAGTTTGCTACCTGCAGCATTTGGTGTTATTCACAATTCTAGCAATTTGTGACTAATAGCTGTAATTTCTTCATATTGCTAAAGGAACGGTGGAGGACACCTGCGGACTATTAACAAACACACTATTAGGCCCATACGTCGGGAATGTAACGTGTCCCAATGGAGTCTGCATGTTATATAACATTAGAGGCGTCGATCCTCGTACGTACGTGACTTGCGTTGGATAGACTAGCGCCGGAGCTGTTGACATGACTGGGACAAAGTTCCCTTGGCTCACAATAGGCTCGGGCACTGAACTGCTGGCACTGCTGTCTGGCTGTTGCTGAGTAGAGGTCGACAGTGGGGTGTGTCTTAGCTGCATTGCTTTCACTCTGGCCTTTAAGTGGGACGGTGGATGGAAGTATCGGCAGTTCTCTCTGTCACATCGATCTGCTATAAAATCCATGCACACGGTCACAAAGCCATTGGGATCGATATCTACAGAAGGAGGTGGGTGTGCAAACTGACAATCGTCTGCCTTCTTTTTACAAGACTGATTCACAAAGAAACAACAGATTGGCAGCTTGTCTGAGAAGTCCAGCCGTCTGGGTGCGTGGATTGCGTTTGGGTTCACTTGCATCAGGGGGTGCGGACTCAACATTGGAAAATGAACTGGGATGTTTCCGCCTGCAAAGCCCCCAGTTTGCTCTTCGGCTAGCCGCTGCTGCTCAAAAGCCTTGCCTAGCGCCTGTATGTACTTCTTTAAGTGCTCCGGGGGATGGTAATACTTGCAATTATCACGATTGCACCTGCCCTTCATCGAATCATAACAAGCCGTGACTTTTCCACTGACAATTAGGCAGTTTTTATCTGGGTGTGCAAAGCGACACTGATCGTCCCCTCTTTCACATTTCTCATCTCGCAAGTGATCTCTGCAAACCTCAATTCGAAGCCATCTAGGATCTCTGATTTTTCCTTTACTTGTTATTTGATTCTCCATGATCTAATTCGAATAAGCGTTCCCACCGATAAGAACCCAAGTATACCTTCAATACTTTCTGTCTGTAACTAGTTCTCCTTACAGCAAACTTTGTTTTTGAAGCTCGATCACCTCTGCTCTATGACCTTCGCACACCTCCAAACAGTAAAAATGCGACTGATCTGCGTTCTCCAACCTTCCAACAGGTTTTCAATAAGTGGAAACGAGGTTGTCAATGCAGATGCGCACATCTTGAAATGATCACGAACGAACGGATCACGACCCGCTGCACGTAAAACTTGTTTGCACTCCAAAAAGCATCTTCCAAACAGATCTCTGACGTCATCAAAGAGGACAATACCACCGAATACACCGAGACCTCATTCCGTGTGGAGGATGTGATTAACCATTGTTTACATTTCCACTTTTGTCCAGTTCCAAAAAAGTTGAACCTGTTTTCCATTAATAGCCACAAGAACCAAGCAAGGGATCCTGGGATTTAATAAAAATGGATGTCAAGTTTGCCGTGAGCATTACCGGTGTGTTTATGAAAGATGGCCTAAGAAAACACGCACACTGTTTGGTGCATAATTTGAAATGTGAGTAGGCCCCCCACACAGGTTTTGCTTTTTTAAATTTTATACAGAGTCCTTTAAATATGGAATCCATGTTCAGAATCCGGGTAATAATGTATGCAACTGGTCCGTTGGGCTTTAAATGATTTAGGCCATCTTCAGACAAAATAGACCATTTTTGAACGGTGCAAAATTTGAAAATGGCTTTGAAAAAAGCAGACACTTTGCAGCATTCAGTTCAGTTCATGTAATTTTAAATTCCACCCTACAAATTTTGTCAAGACATTAGCAATAAACTATAGGCTACAAGTTATAATACTAAGTTTAAAGACTAAACATAACTACAGAAAAATTCGCACGGAAAGGAATTCTTAAGGATGAGGTCTCTCAATAGCAAAGCTAATCGAGGAGAGGGCACCCCCTTTTAGGAAAATTTTATTTGATGAAGAAACGTTTTGGGGAAAATAGTGTTGATTACTATCTATAATCTGCTACAAAAATTATTTTCAAAAAGAAAGGCTTTGAGTCTTTGACGAAAGATATGAACAGATGGTGACCGTTTTATATTTAAAGGAATTTCATTCCAGCAATTTGATCCATAGTGATGTATAGATCTGAGACCATATCGATTGGTATTTTTAAAAATATATTGTCCTTGCGAGCCTGTTGTGTACCATATTGACGAATGGATGCCAGAGATTTAAAGAAGTTTCAGACTTGCAATGACATCAAAGTTAATGTTCAAGGTAGCAAGAGCTGAAACAAGCTCATCAAAGTGAAGTGAAAGACTTCTAACATTCATATGAAATAGAGCAAAATCGTTTTTTGAAGTGCTAAGAGTAGATAGTTCTTGAAGAGTTTTATAAGATGAGTTGATATTAGAAGGCAGATACTCATCAATATCGTAATCATCCAAGCTAGGCAAGTTTGAGAGACCAGAGGTTATTTCAAATGATGTCATTGAATCAACAAATGAAGTAAAATTGAAATCATATAGATTTATAAGTTCATCATTATCCAGTTGACCAAAGGAAAGCATGATTTGTGTACATTTTAAGCATAACCAAGGCACCCCATCAGACTTTTTTTGCAGCTCTTTATGTTCAGAACTAGAAATTGCATTGCCTTTTAAATTAACCCAGAATTCGCAGTGATTACAGTAAACTGATTTAGCACAAGCAAGTATATCTTTGTGGCAAATGCCTGTAAGGAAAAGTATCAGTTATAACCATTACATTATAAAATGAACTTGAATAGCTTCAGGTAGCAAATCAACTAAACTACAACTTAAGTAGGCAAACAAAAAGACAAGACATGCATTTAAAATGTTGGTTTTTTAATCTATTTGCAGTAGAAAGAATAAAGCAAAATTAGAATGATGGATTTTGCACATCTGGGAGCATAAACATGGCAGCAAATGCCTCAACATGTGTTGTGTAGGAGGCACTGCTAAGCCATGACAGTTTCAATACCGTTGCCTGAAGGTTCAAAGTAAATCATTAAAATTGCTTTTGATTTTATTGAATTTATTTTAATTTAGAATACTTATTAATGAAATTGTAAAAAAATTTTCAAAGAACATTAGACAAAACAAAAATACAGATAAAATATAATAATCACTAATTCAAAAGTAAGTGGAAAGAAAAAATAAGGAAAAAACCTGTCACAATGTCTTGACAAACCAAGAATGGCAGATCGTACTGCCAAACTGTGACATATGATTTAATACGAGGGGCTACAAGATTTTCCCCTAAAACAAAAGGATTTCCAGGGAATTCCAGATACAACAATAGGATAATCACAAAAGGTGTACAAGATTTTCTTGGAGTGATTTGCCCCTCGATTTAATAGATGATTGATAGATCATGGGATAATACCATAGGTTCAATTTGTCAAATTTATCAAACTGTGCTGTGATGTAACAGGCGATCTATGGTCTCTGATGGTACGGTCTGATGTTTTTAATTACGTGACTCCATAAAAACGATCTTGATTATTTTGCTTTTTGCAGGAACTATAAATTGTAATAACTGATGGTTCAAAGCTGTTTTGTTTAATTCTATAGTTTTCAACGGACAATCCTTAAATATTATTACCTTCAATTTGTTTCTATTCAAATTTCATTCATACAGCAATCACCAAGTACATACAAGAAATGTTTTATTGTTAAGTTTAAAGAAAATATCTAACAGAGACAAAAGTAAACAACATAAGGCTACATCAATTGATATATTGTTGAGCTGTAGGAGTTTGAAAACAAACTCTTGAGAGCTATCTAGTCACATGCTCTTTTTGACAAAATTAGTTTACCAGATAGCAATTTAAATATGAATTATTGTCAAAGAGCTGTAGGATAGGAATATAATTAAGATTGTCATAAAATTGGGATGAAATTGAAATTGAGCATAGTTGCTTTTTAATAAGAAACAAGTCCAGGTCAAGAATAATCATCGATACAAAACAGGAACAAATACTCAAATTGCTCAGGTAATATATGTTTTACATTACAGAAATGAAACAATTAATAAGAAAAGTATGAGAAATTGCAGAGAAATGAGGAATTAAATTTCTGTTTCAATTCACGGGGTAGATTGTTCCAAATTTTTAATTCTGAAAGGATACAGATTTCCTTTGGTATTCAATTGAGACTGTTGGCAGCGGACATTTTTTTGGTAAAATGCCTGTTATGGTAATTGTGAACAGAAGAGGCTTTGGTAGAATATGTATGAAACAAATAACAATGTTTTTTTCTTGTGATTAGTATAAAACATAAACTTACATATTTCAAGACTGTACAGAGTATCAAAACCAAGCAATTTTAGGTTTACATACAAATAGAGTTTTATGCAAGATGTTCTGTTTGCAAGATTGGTAATGCTTGATGTAGTTTCCTTTTTATGGGTTCAAGATTAGGCTGAACTGCAAGTTATATCATAACTGCAACTAAATGCAGATAGCAGCAAAATCTTTATAGAGTTTCTTACGAAAGCCAATAACAAAGTGTTTCATGTTTGCTTAAATGCCAATACCTTTATTTTTATAAAGTTTCATGTTTGCTTGCTTGATATGTTGCTTCTAGTCAAGACTATTTTCAATCTTCATACCTAAATATTTAGTATGATATTTTTTATGATGTGAGGGTATCATTGAATTTCATACAATGCTCAAATTAAGAAGCTTCATTTTTTGATACCAGAAGACAATTAGATTTACCCATATTGAAGGCTTGTCTCTTAGCAGAGAACAAGGATGAGACTTCACTATTGACGATAATTTTAAGGTCATGTAGATTTTGTGTGAGCATAAAATGCTAATATTTTTTAGCAAAGAAAGAAAATTTGAGAATGTTGGATAATGAAAGCATGTCAGCATGTCAAATATATAAAAGAAAGAAAAGGAGACTTAGCATGGTTCCTTGTGGCACACCATGATGTATGATTATAGGGTCAGGCATATATACACTTTTTGGAATCAATCAGAGAGATAAAATTTGAACCATTGTAAGTTAGTTCTGCTAATTCCAGTATGTTTTAGTTTATTATTTTATGGTTAACTGTTTCAAATGCCTGAGCAAGATCTTTAAATATAGAGCAATTGTATTATATATACAGGAATTTCTTATGCATGAGTCAATTGCTTGATTTTTAGATTTAATGTTGTTGAAAGTCTAATTTATGGGAGTTCTCATATATAAACTAAAAAAATTGCTATTTGTTTACATCAAATATTGGTTTTCCTGGTAATGTGGTTGGTCTACAGCACAATCATATAATTTTTCAGAATATATATGTTAGAGTCATAATTTGTTGTCTAAAGCTCCAACCCGAGTCCCCTTTCCATATCTTGGTCAGGGGTCTGGGGCATGTTTCTGATCTCAAATTGAAGCTCTATGTTACAACAGAAGTAGAATATGCAATCTTTCACAAGATGTTGGTATATGTAACAGAATGTATTTTCTTCAAGTTCATACAAATGCTTTTTCCCATGCAGTTTGTTTGGCAAAATCATTATTTTTTAACCTCTTTCTGCCTTGAAAGGACCTGTATGTATTGCTGTCAACTACATGTGGAACATTTACAGGCAAAGCAAACTAAGTTGTATCTTTGAACATTTCCCCTGAGTTGTTGGTTTTTTGTTGTACACCAAGCCTACTCCAAATTAATATTTTGTAAGCAATTGCAATGCCAACAGCTAGGCCAGCCATGTGTCAAAAGGTAGGCCAGTGGCATAGTCCACATTTTGTCACAACCCACCTTCTGATGCCAAGTAGAAACAAATAAAAATACACATTTTTGGGCAGAATCTGCTCCATATGTGATCCTTCATGTTACAAGAAATAATAGAATTTACAATAACAATGATAATGTGTATTCTCTTTGGTTTGATCTATAAACTCTTTGTTTTTCAGATCAGATGATTTTGTCATTGAATTAGCAGACATGCGGTAAAAAAATCCACAGTGGAATTATTTCTCTGCACAAGGGTGCATCAAAATTTTTGGTATGTAGTCGTGTTTACTAGCATATATTTTTTGAAAGAAATCATGCAATGCAAATTGCCCAATGTCATAACAATTGAAAAGAATAAGCAAAATGCAAATTAAGAACCCTATTACAAGTTTATAAATCAATTTTTCTTGGCCTTTCTTGTAGAATATTCGGTCACTTATTTAAAGAATTGTTTGCAAAATTGCTCTGATCAACCATAAATTTTTAAGAGTATCATTTCAAATCATGAAGGAAAGGCACAGTTAGGTTTAGAAACACCCTGCATATCTTACCTTAAAGTTAAATTACTGAATGGTTTTTATTAGATTTGAATGTATGAATGAATGAATGAATGAATGAACGAATGAATGAATGAATGAATTATTTAATGAATGAATGAATGAATGAATGATTGATTGAATTAATGAATAAATGTCAATCATCATGCTTACATTCTTTTATGTGTAATTGATAAAAGGACCTAAAATCAACTCCAGAATTTTATTAAATGGTGATCCAGTCATATGTTTTAGGGATACTTTTCATCAGCTTTAAGTAAGAATGTCTACCACTAAACCTAGACCGGATAATAGCTAAAATGTTTCAAGAAGATAGATATTAATTCAATGTAGGTTAATAAGAGAAACGAATAGTAATTTATGAATTAAGCAAATTGTTAAAATTTTCTCAAATTCAGATAGGAAATGACTGAACCATGTAATGTTAGTGTTCTGTAAGTAAAATCTTGGTACAATTTTAGTACGAAATATCAATTGGCTTATTGTCACATGGAAATTTTGTACCTTTCAACCTCCAAAAAATAACCATCTTTACATCCCTGGGTATCCTATAAAGGAATATTGGCCCAATAGCTCTTACGTGTTAGTACAGTTTTTTGAATCTAAACCTTGATATTATATGTAAACAATATCTTATTGAAAATGTTTTTACATGTTACCTGCGTTTTCTTTGAAGCCAATTTTCACGTCTTTCATGTAATCATTTTGTTTCCAGTTAACAGGCAAATTTGTGAAATTATTTTAGCTCTAATTGCAGGCATGATAGACTATTGCAGTCAACTCAAAAACGTACTATCCTTAGTATCATTTGTGACATTATCCATTTTACTTTTCACAGTTATTTCAGAATATTGTTTTTATTTCATGTTTTTCATAACTAATTTGCACACTTTGTTTTGTTTTGTAGAGATTGGAAAAGACATGAGAGTGCATCAAAAAGAAAAACCAGAGTTCTCAATATGTTAGGTTTCACCTCACAATTGGGGATGGACAATACCTACACATGGCAAGATAAGAAATTACCATGAAGATTATGTCTGACTTGAACTTTCCTCCACTGTTGAGGCAACTGTCAATGCCACAGCTCAGAAAGTTTTGGCCATCAGTGCCAGGTGAAATCAAGAGCAACAGTTAATTGAAAATTCAGAAAGATACCTGGTCATACAGAAATACATCATTTTCATACCCTGATTGTCAAGTTGGACACAATGTTATGTGCAGACTTTTGATATTGCTTTAAGCAATACTAGACATATTATATGACCCGCCAATATTTGAGTCTAATGTATAATTGTCAGTTTATTTGATTTAGTTGATTGCTGAGCTTCAAAGGAATTGGTTGTCGTTTTTCTGATCCTCGCCTTCGAACTGTAAACACTGCAACAACTTGAATCCTCAGTGAGAAAATACCTGATGCTTTCAAAACAGTTGCTGAAATAATTTGATAAATTAGAACTTTATGTTGCAGCTCAGACAGATATCTCAATAGCCAAATTTTTTTTTTAACTTCCAGAAGACACAAATTTTAGTGTGAATTAAAAATGGGAGGTAAAAAACAAAAATGCAATTCAGAAGATAGAAGCAGGGGTCAGTATCATACAAACCTATAAATGAAAAAACTTATCCCAAAGGTTGCATAGCAACATCATTCAAAGGTCGAAGGAGCTGGAAAAAGTCTTTATTGAATTTCTATGTCAATGATATAAGGATATTAAAAACAGTTTGTACGTTCAAGGGATTAAATATTCGTTATCATTATTACTACTTATCGTTAGCTTAAACTCTAATGGACGGTGTTACCTGGTTAGATACCCAACGTGTAAACGTGGCATGGTTTTTAGAATCGAATTTGTCTTATAGCAAACATTTTGATTGTGTCGTTGTGTAACTTGAGAAATGAATATTATAGGATGTTAAGAATTATGGAGTCAGTACAGTGTTGCAGTGGAGGGGTAGCACGGCATAGCGCTGTTATGCTTCCTAAAATGTCTAATTTATTACAACTAAATTGACTAGACTTAATACTTGCCTCACCTATGGTTTGTATGTGTATAAAGTGATTAAAGCCATATGAAAATATGGGCATGCGTAGTTCGGAGGCCTTATGTTCATGATTGTTTCCGGTAAAAATATGAAGAAATCTTTTCATTAGTCACAAAGAAGAGAGCGGGGTCATAGAAGAAGAAAATGAATATGTTTACCGGGGTTAACTTGTAACGGACGGAAAAAAATGGACGAAAGAATAACAGTAGGATGGCACAGATTTGGGGAATATGGTGATTTTCATGAGGAAAACGCATTGCTTTGAATAAGAAAAGAATAACAATTTGGCACAGACATGGACACTAACATAATTTGGCAGTGGCTCAGAGAGGCATGGAAAGAAAAAATGATTAACGTGATATGCCTTACCTGCTGACGTAGAAAATACAGGTGAAGAAATGAAAGTTTAAGACCACACACTAAAGTTGATAAAGTTGAAGAAAACTCAGAAAAAATATAAGTGTTAATTGGCAGGCCATGTCGCTCAGGTGGAAACAAGAGTAAAGAAAGAAGATCACCGAATTTTCTACAAAAAGGGACAAAAGGATGATCAGCAGTGCGTCGTATATATCCCTAGGTTAAGAGTAAACATTTTGGAAAATGAATATTCAGTGCAGAGATGTATTGAAAAGCACAATTTATTCTATATTTTTTAAAGAAAACTAACGAAACGCTGTTTTGGTTTTTAACTTTTGCGCTATGCTTCCCAAAATTATACGACTACACCACTGGTCAATAAGGTTTTGCATTAATTGTAGCTATTCGGAATTTTGCTGATTTCCTACTCATTAGGTTTAGGCTCTATGGTAGTAACTAATTTTGGTAAGAACAAGTGTGCCATTGAGAATAACTAAACAATCTCATTGTAGAGGGTAACGAAGTTTAGAGACAGCCGAATTATATTTTGAAAATTTCGTATATGATCCTTCGAATTAAGGTTATTATCAATGAAGACGCCTGGGGGCTAATCATTTTCTGCTTGTCCATAATGCAACGAAATGGGATATTGTCAGAAAAGTTTTAAAGGGTTTACGAGTTTGTCTAATCAGAAATAACCGTTTACTTTTAGCATATCATTGTCACAATTTGTCTGGTTAAAGAGAGATTGCGGTTTGCTCTTGATGGTGAAGCGAATGATTTGTGGCATCGACGACAATTCTTGGAAGATCAAGGTACACATCAGCACATAAGCAATAAGATAATGAACAGGATTGTTCTTAGAATAGCTCTTTGTGGAACACCTTTGCATTTATTTACCTGACAACCAGTCAATTTTTTTCCGTTTTCTAGAATTAACTTAGTCCTCCTACAAATAATCATTTTCTTTTCCTCTAAAACCATGATGTCGAAAAAGGCCTTAGATATGTCAAGAAAACACAAAAATTTATAATTTTTTCTGCTTGAATTTTTCATAGACAGATTTCATGGTTAATCGACCGACCTTCTCGAAAATTAAACTGCAAATTGTAAAGGGGCGCAAAGAAGGACTCCTGTTACGTCATTTCTCAATGTCCTTACTGCTAAGGTCCCGATATCTTTAATTCAGAGGATTGTCATTTTTTATAATTTCCAGCGTTTCTTTATACACCTGGAATGCAATCGTCGGTCGATTACTGTTTCCATTAAAAAGCCCTGAATCATGTTAAACGACCGTCCTCTGCAAGTGGTTGTTTGCTTTCGCTGTGAAAGCTATATTTTTATTCGATTTCATAAACCGTTGTTTGTAGCCAACCATTTATGTGTATTTATGTGTTTGTAACGGTCAGGTGCTTGCGTTTTTCTCATTGGCCCATTTCAAACCGCAACTGTCAGAAGAAAAAGTTTTAAGTTTGTATGTTGTGAAATGTTTGCTTTTAAAAAAGCCATTAAAAGATTATTTACGAAAACCTTTTTTCGAAATCATTACAAGTTAACTTCCTCTGTTCGGATTTATGTAGAGATTATAAATGTCACCATCTTATTCTTCCATTTCCAGGTTTGTTGCTGGAAGGAAGCTTTCATATCTGCTTTAATATCTGCTTTCTCATCCCTCAACCTTGAATGTCCCAGATCTTATCGCTAAACTCTATTCACCATTTCAGTGGTCTTCATGCTGTTCTCTTGCCTTCAATCTCCATTTTCTACTGCTTTTACAAGCGCCCCGTGTAACCCCCCAAAGTTAAAAGCCTCTAGGGGCTACTTCGATGATTTACGGTATTCTCGAAAGCAAAGCCCTTCCATCAGGTTCTCTAAGCCTCATTCTGGCGGGCCATCTTCTGTATGAACTTCACCAGAGTGACTTCTGTACAGAGGCGGACTGGCAGTAAATCTCTCGGGTTGCTATATACAGAGAAGGGGCCCGTACTACGTATAATGTAAGCAACAGGGGCGTTGTGGCTCCTAGGAAAGGGCCAGGAGAAAATCATCATAAGGGGGCCCATTCTTGTGTATGATATCTCCAATCACAAAGCCAAGTCGCCAAAAATGATATGTACCTGGAAACCATGCACCTATGAATGTATTAAAAAGATCCCCGTTTTTATCATTTTGAAAGGTTCATCTGCTATATTTGTTGGGATGTAGCTCCTTTTCTCTAACCATAGATAGTTTAAGATTGCAAAAAATGAGGATCAAATTCAATGCTGTAATGCACAGTTGATACTAACAAAAATCCAACAGAAAACATATATGCACTGCGAGCGAAGCGAGCAGCAAATTCTTTCGGCCGCGCCCTTTAAATTAACTTGAAACACGATTCAGAATACTTTTTACAGTTGTTTACCTCGCTTTACAAACTTTTAGGCATACTTTGTTGCGTTTCGTTAAAATTCAGTTCTTAATCTGGAATTCCTTGCTTTAAGAGGACCCCTAGACCTCGAGGCTCAGGGGCAGTTTGCCCCTCCTTGTCCCCCTCTCGGAAGCCCTGTTCATATTCCCTCTTCATGGAAATGTTGACCTCCTCTAATTTTAAACTGTGAACTTGAGTATACATGTAAGTGCGGCATTTTTTTCACCAAAGATTTTGTTCATATAAGATATTTTCCTGGGGTTTACAAACTCACTCGAAAGGGGGCCACCGAGAAATTTCCCCGTGTCCAGCCTAGCCACAACGCCCCTGGTAAGCAATACTGAAATGTTTTCTTTCTAAGGATTTTATCTTCATTTCTGTGACTTGTATTCTCTTGAACATAGATATCTTTGAAATTAACAGAGTTATTTTATCGAATTTATCTACAGAGGGCCCGGTTATTATGAAGTTGAGAAGGCCCGGGTTGCGATCGCAACCTGGCATCCCTGCCAGTCCGCCACTGCTTCTGTATGAACTGACGATTGGAAAATAACGCTCTACGTCAGCCACTCTTAAACTCCGGCCCGCGGGCCAACTCCGGCCCGCAGCAAAATTTCATCCGGCCCGCCGAATGCTTTTCACCTCGAAAATATTTTTTGCCAACATTTCGAATTCTATTTATCTTTGGTTTCTTTTGTCCTCTTTGGTATTTTTTTTTCTCTGTGGTAAATTTTAAATGCGTTCCGTGGACAGTTACTGGTCCACAAGAGAATACCGAAATAGGAAATGCTTTTTTTAATCGATTGATCGTTTTATAGCGTTTAATTAACTCTTTTTTAATTTATTTCTTTTCTCCATCTTACACGCTGTTATGCAAAGATCATTCTAAAACCTTGCGAGACTTTTCCATTTACATGTCAACAGATAAAACTATGGAATCCAGTTATGAAAACCATAAGAATATTGCTTTGAATTTTCTCCCGTTAAAATCTATTTGAGGTGCTGTTTCTGGCCATTCCTAGATTAATATAACTTGAAAAATTTTGCCCCCAACCATGGTGGCGGCCTCTATTCAATTCATCCACAAACATAATATTTTGGCCTTTCTTTAAAATACGCTGTGCAGTCCCTCGACCTGACTTCAGGCGCTTCAAACCGACCCAACAAGAGACTAACGAACGATTTACCTTCTGGCCTAAAATAGTATAGAACGATTTTCTGACTCAGTCTGGTGCAAGAAACATAAAGTTACAAAACCTTTGTGAAAACTATTTTTTGGGTTTATGCTAAGGTAGATAGAATAGGCAGGCACGAAATAATAGGCATGCCTATCTTATTACTAACTTAGCCTGGTAAATATGATATCATTTTGAGCAGCCTTTTAACACAAGGTAGGTAAAAGTTGAAAACCAACTGGCTCCCGAAGAAAATCTAAGTGTTTTTCTGGCCCGGCACTTAAAATAATTAAGAACCCCTGCTCTACGTGATACAAAGTGTAGGGCGTATTATGTAGTGTGATGCACTCAGAGTATTCGAGCTCAGTTCCCTAAAAAGGTATCGAATCGACAATAACTATACTAACAAATGTGAAACTTTGAATAGTGGTAAAAATACGTATGCTGAACAGTATTCCAAACTGCCTAGGCTGCTTTTAGGAATGGGCTCCCGCATTTGGAAATGGAAGTATTTAAGAAACGAAGAACAACTGCTATTTTCATTTAATCAGAAGAATGCACCAGACTGTAATGATTTATTGACCAAGTCAGTAGTTGAGAATTTTAGCAGAATTCTTCGAAGATTCTATCAAATACTGTTTAGGAAAAAAGACTTTGCAGCATCTAAAGTGTTGATTATATTGATAACCTATTGTCAAGTGACCAGAATTAGAATGACAGGGTTAAAATTTTGTAGCATAAAATGACCCAGGTGAGATCTTGTCAGAATATATGACGTTACATCGCCATATAAGTTGAATGGTTGAAAAGACCACAAATTTTACTCAAGATAAGAGTTTTAGTTCTTCAGGTTAATGGGTTTTCTTCTTAGCTCTTGATACTTAACTTCTTTTTATTTCAGTAACTTAATTTTTTTGCTTTCTATTTAAGTTTAAATTTATCTTCTTTCGATTTACCCTTGGTTTATCCTTGAAAATATCTTTGTTCAGGCTTGTTTGACGACAGGTTTTCAGATGTTTCGACAATGTGTCTGCAAAAAGCACCCAAACAAAGTAAAATCAAGTCTTAGGTAAAATCCTTAATCAAAATATATTTGGAGGCAATAAGAAGTAAAATTGCTTCAATTCAATTTAAAGTGAGCTTAATGGATATCGACTTTTGATACATCTATTTCCAATTCCTTAGCATTAAAAGTAAAGCTAAAGTCAGAGAAGGGTAGATAATAGGCCAAGTTATACGAACAAGAAGATATGAACTATGCAATTCTACAGAAAGGAGGTTTAGCGATTTGCCACAAAGTAGGGTTAAAGTTGCAGTATAGCACTTTCCAAGCATCGCATCAATTGTTTTTAACTATAGGACAATTTTTTATGACTCCTTATAATATAATTGCATTATTTCTAAAAAGTGTTTCAATGCATAATATGCGCTAACTGGGTGTATGCTGCTAATTACTATCTGAATGGGGTAGGTAGCGAACGATTTGATTTTTGAATTTTACATGGGATTGAGGTACACGAATGAAACAGAGGCTACTTTATAAGTAAAGTATATTTTCGACGTTAAATCCGGATTTTATGACAGTTGCTTGTCCACAAAAGATTATAGAAACTTGACCCAGTAATAGCTTAGCACTGAGTTGGGTGATACAAAAAAGCTTTTATCTCCATGTGCATGGACGCGAAGAGATTAGAGAGATTTGCATACCCTAAACTTCACTGGAATTCAGTTATGGCATACACACGTTTTAAATTATAAAAACCAGTTTTATAAGCAACAAATCATAATAGCTCTTTTCAAGGTCAGGATGAACTTTCTAAAATACTTGTAATTATTTGAGCCTGATAACTGGAAATATCTAAAATTTCTCATCTAAAACATAATTAAAGCCATTTCGAATTTTAGGTCATGAAATTTTGTCGCCTAAAAATATATTTACATACAGCTATAAAACCTGTTTGCTATACTACTTAAAAACTGTCCATGAATGTGCTTGATAGTAGAAGTCGGTAGATTGGAGATTTTATCTGATCTGACATATCTATTACCTTGTCTCGAGAATTTAAATCTCCATCGAAAATAAAGATATGCTTGGTAGCTGACACTGCCTCCATTCTATCTATCAGTAGCTGACACTGACAGGACTCCCAAGGACAGCGATCCTCCACTTAGACCTATGCCTGGTAACTCTTCTAGAATTTAGTTACTATATCCCCAATCAAAGTGTTGATGTGGTCGCTGCAAGAAAGCAATCAAGCTCCAAAGTTTCAGTCCGAACGTCAATGCCACTATCCGAAGACCTCGTGTCCTGTTTATTTCTAAGGTACTCGTCATCAATGTCATTTTCACTCATAATATACGATAAATCGCTTTGAATTGAAGACAAGCTAGGTAACGATGATAAACTGTCAATTGTAGATTTTCGACCACGCCCAATGTTATTCTTTTCAACGAACACTGATCCATCTGTAAATGTTGACTCATTGCTACCTATAATATTGTCGTTTTCGTCTTTCAGTGACAAAGGACACGAAGTAAGATCACTGCTTGATGCTCGAGCTATTAAACCTTCAACCTGTTTTTCAAAGAGTTCTGATTTGTACTCTTCCAACATCAAGTCCATACGATTCTGTTTGATTGCTTCAATTTGATTCTGTACTTCCATCATCTTTTCCATTAGCTGTACATTCAAATATGCTAGCTGCACCTAAAAAAAGTTTAACTGAATTTAAAAGGACAGTTATTCTAAGTGAATATGTACAACTTTTTAATTGGTCTAAATTAGGTCATGGCCTCCTAATTTAGTAACATTCATGCTAAATTTATCACAGATAAAAAGGTCAATTTTATCACATATCAGAAAAATCATCATATATTTAAAAAATAATCTTTCATTAAACATGCGTATTCTGTAGAATTACAAAAAAAGTACGACATAACTTCTTGGCCCATAAACCGTTGGTAAAGCTTTTGTCATCTTATTAGAAAAATACCCTGTCTGGCAAAGCGATTTCAAACTTTGTGACACAGATCTGTTATGTTATGTAAGGTCAAAAGGGGAGAACCAGAATGGTATATTATCAATATGCTGATGTGGTATTTAAAAGCCAGTGTAGAACAGCTCAATTCAGTCAAATAAGAAGATTCCTTGCTTTGTTACTGTTGATGAGCATATAAACAACTGTTTTTCTAAAGGACGGCTTCCTTGCAGATTACGTCATTCAAACCATGACCAATACAACACATTGCGAATCTAATCCATAATCAAATCCCCTGCTCTCTTTACAAATTTGAGCCACAGTATATACTTTCTAAATTTAGCAAAGACATTTCAGCTTTTCAGATTTACCAAACGACATAACAATCGATAGAAATATGTTTTTGTGCTTCCATTTGGCATACCATATCGGAGTCTTGTGGTTTTAATTCTCCGATTGAACTGCAGTGAACCGAGTGAACATAAAAATAGCGAACTCTGGCTGATGCAACATGTTTGCTGAAAAAATAGACGCTCGAAAGCCGTTTTTGTTTTTTGTTCACATTGATACTAACTTGGTAAAATTCAGATAAATTCACTTAAAAAAAACAAATTTGTGTTTCTTAGAGACAAAAAACATTCAATGGCCTTGAAATAAATTTGATATTTTCAAAAATAACAGTTTGATTAAGAGTTTTCGTAATCATCGATAGATAATATTGCACTCAGTATAATCCAAAGGACCTTAAAACCAGCTGTTTTCGACTTTTAAAGAACCAGCGCAAGTTTTGTTCTCCGGCCTATATAAACAGCATCCAAAATGATAGTTTATATATTGAAACTAAAAAAAACAAAGTCAACAATCTTAGACGGTTTGAAATCTTGATGCTCTGAGAAAGTAAAGTCTTTTTGTTTAGGTAGCTATTTCTATGCTTATAATAAGGCAAACATGTCTTTTGCGTTGAATTGAATGTTAAAGGCTCTTGCGCAACCGGCATGCTTCGCGACTATATTCTCAAAGTGGGCCTAATATCGCACTGCATGAAAATTCCATATACTGTCCATTTCTCCTCACACAAAAACCGCATTACAGCAAAGCATGCAAGTTGCGCAATAGTCTATATGTCTGGCTACTTCTTTGTTTCTTTAGGATTTTGCCCTGATCAAAATGAAGTGTTATTACCCATTTTAGTGCATCGAATTAACTGATCATAATCCAAATCGACTCCTAGATTGCACCTTTGTATATTCAAGAATTCATCAATGTTGTAGCAGATAACATACTGACACGGTCGTAAGACCTCGTGCCCTCCAACGGATTTAACAATCCTTCGTTTCCAATGAGCAATCATCCCTGTTCCTGTTATTCCCAAACCATGGTGCCCCTCCAATAATTCTATCCTTCCTAAAGTATTGTGACAGCAATATTGGGGCAGAATCTGTGTGTTGATGCATGCATTACCAAGTGGATTTATTGCTGCCATTCTTACTTGAAATTAAAACAAACACATGGTTTCGTTTCTTTTACAATAAATTCTTAGCCCTACTGCCCTTAATGTCGCTATTGTAACAAAACGTAGTTCTGATAGATTTTATATAAATGAAATTGTGATCTTTGCCATAGCTTTTTTGGAGAGAAATCAGCTGAGGCAAGTCTTTATTTATATACAGAGCAATACAATGGCCTATTGTTCTTTATAATGGAAGGTCGCGGGGGCTAGATGTTCGACTGCCCCGTAGTTAATATGTTAAAAAAGCCCTGAGCGAATTTTTGTAAGTGTTTAAGATTTAAAGTACGATTTGGTCAGCAGATTCATATATGGTAACTGTGCGCTTTCTGGTTTCAATGTGCAGCTGTTTTCTTTATCGATTCTTTTTGCTGCTTGTTTGTGATTTTTCCTGTAATCAATACCACTAGAAGATAACATAATATCTTTTGAGATACGCATCAACAAAGAAAGAGATTGATTATCCATAACTATTGCTGCTTCAGACATCCATTGTCTACTAATGACAAAATCAGCCCCCTTTATACCCTTTCCTTTTTACCTGAAAAGAGCGGATTTCGTGACGTTATATTAATGGAATAATTGTATCTCCAGTGAAACAACAACCATTTATAGTTTTTATCCATAAATCTCTCAATAAGATTCTCAAATCGTGTTAATGTAAAGGTATTTAATAGGAAATCAGATAACGGGAGCGAACGGCAAATCTCGTTATGAGATAAATGGAGGTTAGGTTTAAGGTCTATCGTGTTCTGCAATTCTCATCATCTTTCAGCAAAAGGAGGCCCCTGAAACCACAAAACGAGGTTACAATTGGAGATTCGATGTTAAGCCACTATAAACCTAGCGATTTCTACCTGTAATTAGTATCAATGTGGTAGAAATGTCAGCACACGTTGAAGTTGAATGCAAAGATCCCTGCTTTGTTGTTGATGTTAATGCATTCTGTTCTTTTAATTGTTAAATAATACTTGTTACCAGTCGCGAAGCTAACCATAAATGGCTGGTCGTCCTGCTGTATGGACAGGGCCACGTCCCAAGTCAATAGGTAACGCCCATGAAAAATTTAATTTATTTATGAATATTTCTCTAAATTCATTAAAAAGCAAGTTTAAATTTCAGCCAAAAAATATAGGGGATGCATAAAATAAAATTTTTTTTACAAATTTTTCTATTTTAGCCCTGCACCAAATTTCGCCCCTTTTAAAGAAACCTGTAGAACAAGAAAGTGTTTGGAAATTCATGTTCTTTGGATCACGCATGCTTCCAACCATGACCAACACTTTCTGCTTAAAGAGCATCTCATTTGGAAGAAAAATTCAGCCAGAAAAGTAAAGTCTGCTTTGTTTTTTAACTTGGTAGCCTCCAAAAAATATTTGGGATATGCAAAAACGAGACACTGTATTTTGATGGGTGAACTTAACTTGTCTAGCACTGACATAGTAAGAAATTACCGAACGTTGAAGCTACACTGGGTGCTATGGGAAGGCAAAGGGGCCCATGACATCATATTTGGAGCATATGGCTTGTTCCGTTGAATGGTATTATCAAAAGTAAAATAGGGTTCGATATATGATGTTAGGTATGTTCAGATCTGTAGAAGAGTCACTTCCCCGGCTATAGCAAGAAAGCTCTCCCTTTTGTAGGAATAGTCAGTCCCTTTTTGGGTTAATGTAATCTCTCGTACCAGCCCTCCGGATGTTTAATGGCAGAGCTTTCTGAGTGGTTGGTATATCCTAGTCTCGCGGCCGTTTTCTTTGCTTTTCTTGCCTCTCCGGGTTACTCACTCGGCGATCAAAGATCAAAAACCTGATTTTTGTTCCCACAAATTGGTTTAAAAACATAGGATTTAGCCTTTGTAGAAAGAGGTTTCTTTTCTATGTTCATTACGACATTAAAGTCTTATAAGATGTTGAAATCATAACCTTTACTTTGTCGACACATGAATATACTTATTGTGAAAATGTTTGTATCCAGCAACTAAAACTTTGCACCTAATGAAAGGACGCTTTCAAAGAAAACGTTTGTCCAAAAAGCTGGACTGTTCCTTTGGCTCACTATAAAATACATAGGGTGGGCTGACGTCATTTCAAAACACAAGGCAAATCTTGGTTTTATGGGATAACAAAGAATCCAATTTATTTATCAAATACTTGGAAGAGTGAATAGAAATCTTTCAAAGCAAGCCAAATTTGCTATCATAATATCTGTACTAGTGTTGTTCCGATATCTTAATCTCGTAAACCAGGCCTCAAACAGGATGTCTATTCGAAGAACCCATTTTAGTTGAATCAGTTGTTTTGAAAATGAGCCGATCGATTTTACTCTTTCTCGTAAAATTCTTCATTCATTGAGGAGTTTCCCCATTGATACAAATAACAGCCAGATAAAACTTGAAATATGACATATATATTCGGTGAGAATATCGCATTGAAGATAAGCCTTTTAACAAATTTATGTATTTGGCAAACTTCTTTATGGCTTTGCTGCCAACTGTTCAGTAATTGTCTTAATATTTACCCAATGTGCTGTAGCCCATGGTAAGACCCAAGCGTTTTGAAATATATAAGACCTTACTCTTTAAGGCACCTTGCAAATAATTGCATGTCTCTTGAATTGTGGCAACAGTTAACTCCCCAGTAAACAAACCCCTCTAATAAAGTCACACCAAACATTGTCTGCCGTAAAATCCTTGTCCATGCTCGATACTTTCAAGACGAATACCTTCCTGAATTGCTATTAAACATTAATTTAATACCTTGCAAATAGGGATAAAGGCATTTTTCTATATTCTAGTTTTATCTCCTATCGCTTCTAAAAATGCTACTTTAGTTAATTCTAACAAGTACACTCTTTTTTAAAAGTCTATAAGAATATAAAGGCTCAAATCGCCGAAATTTAAGAATAATTCAAGTGTAATGCAAGATTCAAGCTTCAACAACAATTGAATTTTTCGTTTATTTGAGTTTACACCTTGTGTCGCTTAAGAATAATTTAGAAATAATCTTCGGCTCAAATCTAAAGAATTTGAGAATATTAAGAATCAGCAAAAAATTAAATATTCTTATTAAAACAGTGTGTATCACTGTAGGTCAATTTGCAAAATTGAAATTGAGACCGTTATGCCACGAGCAGCCACTGTTATTTCTTTGCTTTCAAATATTTGGAAACCATTTGTCCAAACATATCCTCTGAAAGACAATCCTTGGTATCTGGAAGCGAACACCTGTGCCGTGTGAAAGAGTTACTTCAGGGTTACTCGTGACTCTTCCGTAAGGCCTGTGAAGTATTTTAACTCGGTGCCAGTAGCCTAGGACCTCCTGTTTTATTGACTTTGAGATTAGCCCTTTCGAAGACTTAAGTTAAAATTTTTTAATTTGTCCAAAATAATTGTGATCTAAGGGGTTTTCATGAAATCTGAGGATAATTTTATGCTATTCTAAGTTAACTTTTCACACAAAGCAAAAGTGAGAGCAAGGGATTAAAATTATTATTCTTTGCTTCATGTATATGGTTTGTTTATTTCTATCTACTGAAATCGTTGGATTTATTTTATAAAATGTTTAACGCGGGATGCTTCAAATTTTCTGCACGTGGAGCATTTGAATGTGAAGTGACAAGCGAAAAATAAAATTGAGACTAAAAAGGGCGTGTGCCCCAGCCCAAACTTTGTATTTCCCTAATGACACCCATCGTCTTGACCCCCTTTATATTTATATCAAGTAACATGGAATAATATTTACTATATATTAAATCGATGGGGTGGAATGTTTCACAAATCAGCAACCATTTTTAAGCTGCAGTGAACATAACAGGGCATTGCAGATCAATAAATTAGGCACATAGGTGACTTGATGCAGAAAAAGTAAGCCGGTGAGCATGGTTTTATCAAGAGGTTTGAGGGCACGGGTCCATCCTCACAAGATCTTAAACGTTGCTCCAGAAGCCCTACGGCAACACAAAACAACCTATTGGCATATTTATACCTATCCAAAGATTTACAAATTTCATTAATTAACACAATTTCATTATGAGTGGGAAGAATCTTATCTGTTTTTCATTTTGGTGAAAAACAATTTTTTGTGACGTAATTTATCATGTTTACGGCTTTAACATAGTGTTTCATATAAGATTACGAGGAATGATGCCTAAAGGCAAATGCCGCAAGATGGAGGCTCAACACGTGTTATTTAGAGGCTTTAGTTAGCTTGTTGCAGGCTTTAGTTTGAAGCTAACCCTCTTGCACTGGACGCCAAACAGAGAATTTCGATAAAAATTTATATGGAAATGTAACTTGTTTTGGCGTATAGAAGCAAAATATCAAAGTTTTTATATTTTAAAATCGATAAAATTATTGCTTAGGCAATCGAGTTATTGTTGCTATGCAGACGAGATTTCAAGTGGTTGCTGTTGCAACAATAAAAAGCTTGCAACACATTGAAGTACGAACTGATCGTAATTATTGTGCTTTTTAAGGAATTTTCTTAAAAGGGGGCTTGCAAGCTTTTGAAAGAGCAAAACAGTATTGAGAATAAGGCTCAGAACAGACATGGTTTATTCTGGGATAATGGTATTAGAATAAATAGTGATAAAAATTTTGACATCAATGCTGCAGTATGTATACATTGAGATCACAGGGTAAACAATGGATCGGGTAAACTCATCGACTTCAAATAAAACTGAATAAATTGATTGCCTGGCGTATTACCGACATGATTTCGGTGCTTTTTGCAAGTTTTGAAAACAGTACAGCAATGTCTTGTCTGACTTCTTCACGGCCTAGCCATACTAGCACGCATTCAGGCTTAAGGGTGGTTATAGCTGTTTCAGTGGTTTGTGCCATTGGTGAAAAGTAATTGAGGCTTCTTAAAATAATGTTTCGACTCATGTGATGCAACTGGAATGATATCATTGAAAGTGCTATGAGATTGCCCTAAAAAGGCTGTTGTACTGGGCTTTCTCTCAAGAAAAGCTTCTGTCAGTATCAGAACAACACTTGATTGATCATGCCATTTCAAAGTCTGATTAGCTGGGTATATCTAATTGATGTAGAACAACCTAGAATGGCCGTAAGGTTTGCTGGCTACCCATCGCCGCTAATCCATTGCTCGGACAGGGCAGGAAACCTCTCCCTCGCCATGTTATGACTATAGAAATCTCAATTGGAACACATGTTAACACAACCGGTTTTTTCATTGGGTATAAATTTCATTATATGAAACCAATATCATATCAAACATTGGCTCATATTCTTTTCGCTTGAAAAAAATTCCTAACAAGCATACCATTGCAACTTGTATTTCAATGCAGTAATACCATTGAGAAGGTATTGCAAATTCTTGAGAGTTTTTGGGTGACAAAGCTAGCAATGGAAACGGAAGGCTCAAACGAACTTGGTCATGTGAAGAGGATGCTGCCTATATGTGGTCAATTACGCAGCAAAAATTTAACAATTATGGGTTTTTTGATTTAATGTTTTGAGGTTGCCTCTATTGAGTGAGAGACTATATATAGTTGTCTGTTGCTTTGGTTACAAGAAAAATGACAAAAATAGTTTTACACTCCAAGTCAATTTCCTAATGGTTGTTTTGTATATAGTCAAGTTTGAAAACAATTTTGTTATGACTATTTCGAAGCAGTGTGATACGGTGTCAAAATACTTTCTCATTCATTCCTTCGTAAACAAACTTTGCTCGGATTCCTTTTTTGAAAGACTTAAAATGTTTATAAGGACGAAGATATCAATTAAATATCAAATCAATTACTTGCAACATCATCAGCTTAGCAAGGAAGGCTGTGGCTGAGGGATTTTTGATTGAAATGGCAGTGACTTCAAAATTGATCAAATTTGAACGAAAAGTGAATTCGTTGCAAATTATATTTGATTTTCTCTGCAATATCCTTTAGTTTATTAAGAAACATCTGCAAACATACAAAATTCTTCAGTTTACTGTTGTTATTTTTTTAAAGCGAACAAACATTTGTCAATTATACAAGTAAATCAGCTAAAACTTGTTTTTTCATCGGTTTGTATATTCAGCCAGAATTTTCACGAAGTTAAAGTCTTGAAAATCACTGAAGTTTTAGTTAAATTTGCAAATTTGTTTTGTTCCACGCTAGCGCCATAAATCAACGGTGCAGGCGTTGCAAAGAGTTGATTACTCTGGATAAAGTATCCAACGATTTACAAAGATTAGCACAGCTTTACTGCGAACAGTGGAAACATTTATCGTGGCGTTTTGACCGATAATGGCAGTGATCAAGTCAAGCTTAGCAAGATCAAAAACACTCCCAAACGTCACGGAAAGATCCCTCTCTAATCCATTTTCTAATTTCATATGCTTGAGCTTGCATACTATCAAGAGCTTTGTGATATCAACCATGTTGAATGCAATTTACAACCATATTGCCGCGTTTCTCCGTGGCTAAAGGGTATTATTGTCCAAACACACCTATCAACTTTGATTTCCAAAGCCGGTTTATAAATCAACAAGAACTGCCTGTAATTATTAAGAAATTAGAAAATGAAAAGTGAAAGTTTTACTTACCATTTCGTTTTTCAATGTTTTCAATGCGTTATTCATTCTTGCATAACAAGTGGTAGAAACTCCCCTTTCAGTTATAATCCCTGTATCTTTCATTTTGTGAGCAGGACCACGCGTATCACTAGAAATCGAGCAGTGTTCTGTTTGGTCTTTCTTAACTTTTAATTTCCTCCATTCATCGACGCTAAAATTCATCTCTGACTGTCTTGGTATAGCTGGTTCGCATCTAACATTGACAGTGCATTTCATCTTTATCATCCACTTGGTTGGATGTGCATCAAAGGTAGAGATGCCGAGTACAGACTATTTCCACACCGAGAGTATTGGCGATTCCCTCTCGCTTGTACTTCAGGCTGACAGTCTTGCACACAATAATCCCACATCCAGTATTAACTGTAGCAACAACTTTCCTTATCAGCAGCGATTTAATCTTTCGAAAGCCCGTAAAAAGACCTCTTTGTACACAGACGTGCCCATATCGCTAACGGTCTGTCAGTCAAGTGGCTATCGTAATCCACTGTAGCATTCCCAAGATTCTTTGCCCATTGTTTCATCACGTGTGTTGTGTCCTTGAAATCGATGTTTCTGTTATATTAACGAACAACGAAGCAAGCGAGTTCTCAAAGCTGAAAACAAACAGGACTAAAGTATATTTGTGATACACTTAGACTGGGCCAAAGGGGCCGGATAATTTTTCAGCGGAAAAGATATAGGTCTCTGCTCTGCACAAATAAGGTGTAGGGGGTGCAGGCTCCAAATCTTTTTTACCCGTAGTTCGAAAGGTCTCGAAGAGGAAAATACGGAGGAGCCTTGCGGGGAACGAGTGTTTTATAAACAAAATCATATATTATTTTGGAGGCCAATTCATTGTCAAAGATATTATCTCGAATCTTCTTCTGAGCTTGTGCTTTTATCTGCTATTCCTTAGAGTTAACTGCTACAAATCTGCCATCGAACAACAATTGAATGCTCCTTTAACGAGCAATGAAATGAAGAGGGAGCCTTGTGGGAGCTCAACATAAATCAACTCGAAGAAATATTATTCATTAATGTCTATTTGCATATGGTCCAATATCGACTGAATATGTAGAGTAATTAAAGCTAGAGACTGATTAATTCAAGATGGGCGGCAACTCTGCTCTATAACAGTTAAAATATTTTGAACCATCTTTTTTTAATGACTGCCAATCCGAAACGGTGGTATCAAATTTTAAACCTATCAGGGCCTGTTTATCTGCAGGTTGGCTCAAATCATCGCAGATTTAAATCAAAACTTTATCCCACAGGGGTTGGGGGTGGGGGTTGGTGGTGAGGGTTGGGGGCGAGGGTTAGGGGTGAGGGTTGGGGGTTGAGGGTGTAAATATGCTATGAACCGACTGCAGCGTGAACATTCTTTTGACCGACTAAGGGTATTTAGAATATTTGTGCTTATTCAGAGTGATCTAAGATCTTTAACAGTTATGCCGTCAAGTATACAATAGAAACTCCATAAAAAGACAAGATGAACATGACAAAGATTTTATGGCTGGATCTCACCTCCCACCCCATAGACTGGAAAGTGGGACGGTTCAGGGGAGAGGGGTGTTTGGGGTTAATGGCATTGCGGTATTTGCCTTTTTCTCGGTCGGTAATTCGGTAATCTTCCTCAAATTGGGCAGTAATTCGGTAATGAGAAAAATCGGTGGTGAACGGTTTTTAGCGAATTCGTGAATTGGCCAGTTCTGGATTAAACAATGTAGCAGTTTAATTAGAAATGCGGGCGAAATGCTAGTGGCGATATCTTGTTGTATCCATGTTGTAATCTTCGTGATTTTTAGCCGATAAATCCTAATTTTTTATTCTTTCCTTTTAAAATGGCGTTACCCGTGGTTGCAAAATTCTCAAGTTGCGACGGCAAATGTGAATGATTTAATTTCAAAATTTTTATAATTACTTTTTTCTTGTTCGTTTTTCTCACAATCTAAATGGCTAATATATAAACAGATTCGCTGGAGCCAGCTATAGAGACCCATTTCTCGATTTGCCCATATGTTGTATACAACTATCATGTATACCACGTGAACTCAATTTCAGGTGAGACACTTAGGAGGGGTCCCTCATTCTTTTCAATGGCAATTTTTTATTTGAAATATCTACTGTATAAGAATGGGTCACGTTTTTTCATTTTTGCTTTCGAAATTAGTAAAGTATCAATAAAACACATCCGCGTCGAGCTTTTGTAATACAGAAAGGCTGTGGTTGTTTCCTTGTATATGTATATGAAGAAATGCCGAATGAGAACTTTGTTTTATAGGATTTGCTCCAAACTGAGCCATAACCCCCTTTTCCACACTGTGGTGCTGCTGCTATCTGCTTCTGTTGTATATAAAGCATAGCAGAACATCACTTTTTGATTTTCAGCTATTGAACGTTTAAAGCGTTCCAATTGCCTAAAGAAGAAACTTAAAAATCTATTTCTAGTTTAAAATTGGAAATAAATTTAGGTTGTTTCATTTTCTATAAACTCTGGAGTCCAAAGTTTGCTTCCAAAAATCGTGTTACGTCATGAATGAAAGAAGTACATTTTTGCGTTCCACAGGGATCTTTTCTTGGAATTCTCATAATAGTAATTTATATCAACCAGTTTCCATTTGGTCTAAAAAGCTGGCAGTTAAACAGGATCTCTTCTTCTTTAAAGGATATCAACGACTCGAACAGGACGCTAAGTAAGTGCTTTTTTCTTTTAGAAAAATCTTCAGACTTTATTCTGTCCAGTCTACACAAAACCCATCCGATTATGTCTGGGCATATCGACGTGGTCCTTTTCCTTTAGCTAGATCGTATTGGCCCCATTAAATTACGCTTTCTGCAAAGCACAGTAGAAGATAAAAGTATTTTCGATTGTAGGCATAAAGCTAGATCAACTTAAAAGGGCTGATTCCCATTGACCTTTACTGTTCTGTTTCGCAACCGAAAAAAATACTAATCTTCAAAGCACTAAAAGAAAAACTAGTATCCATCAAGAAGACTCTAAAAGGGTAAATAGTCAGAGTGAAAAGTCAGCCAAATATGACGAAATTTTCAGAATTTATATCAGAAAGATTGATAAAAAAGGGTCCTGCACAAGCTTCATATTTCGTGGGCACATGAGTTTTGGATATATGATAAACTTTTCGCTGATATATGGGCATATATTACATGCTTGAAACTTGACGATTTCCCCAGAAATTACTCGAAACTTGAATGAAGTTCAAACTGCAATGTATTCGGTAATTTTCATTTTGAAAACTCGGCATTGCGGCAACATCAAAATATTCTTGCGATATTACGGCAATAGGGAAATTTTCTTGCGGGAACACGGTATTTGATACCCCCCAAAGACCCAGCCATTCAGCACATGTTAACCGGGCCTAATGTAAGAGATTTCAACCCGTGTTTGATTTCAAATTGGTTAGTGATTAAAAGATTCTATTCTGCTTACATCATAGTATCTCAACACGTGCTTAACTCAAGACCGTATCACAACCTATATTGAAGTATTAATCCTAGCTGAAGTTTCTATGTGTGTGACCGTCATTAAATTTCAGCTCGGAGTGTGTTGAGGTGAAGAGGTGCAATGTGGGACATCTTTAGATTATTGGAGTTTGAGATCATAGGCAATGGAAATACAGTGCGATCTGAATTCAACCCGTTTTGAACTTTGCCATGCAAACGTAAGGTAAAATGAGCAATTGCTGAACTCGACACAGATCTCAATCTTGAATTTTGCCTGATTGAATGTGAGATTTACTTAGACCCAAAGCATAAACGTCTTTATCTAACTGGTTTTTGGCTACCTCAACAGTATGTTTTTGCAGATATCATCATTAATTGGATAATATTCGCCACTAGAAAGCTCTAGAAACGACCTATGTCGAAAATCGTTTCACTTTATAACAGCATATGAGACAGATGAGAGAGAACAAAAACATTTTCCACATAACTTACCTGCATTTATGAAAATCTCTTGAATATCCCACACCTGGCATGAATATCAGAATGAAACATTCATCTGTTTTGAAAAATGTGCATTCTTGAAAGTCTGGGTTACTGGTTTGTTCTTTCACTGTTGCTTTGCTGAAATCTTAAATGCTACATCATTTGCAATATTCATGTATGTAGCAAACAACATCAGAATTTCCCAGGGTTTTTCCTTTTGGGAGAAAATCATTATGTCAAAAATTAGATATTAAGAGTATTGCTTTGTCAAACATTCGCTATAATCCCCTTTAGGTTTAATAGAAGAAGAAGTTTAAGCTAGCTCATAAATTTCAAAGCACATGGATTAGAAATTGTCATAAATCAAAATACAAGCTAGATTTATGTGTCAGAGATCTGTTGATTTATCCGATCAGTTCTTTTGCTTCTTTAAAACTGTCTTCGAATCAAAACTTGCTAGTTATTTTTCGTAAGCCTTACGAAATCCATAAGAGGCTGGTTGAAAAAGAGGCCTTCACGAGGAGGACAATATGGCTTCTAGTGAAGGGGAAATAAAAGTCAATTCGAGCAAATCAAGCGATGTTGTAAATGGAAATAGCACTGATGTAGTTTGTTACAACTTTACAAATAGAATATTTATTCTTCTTACACAATTTCAACGACCAGGAACAATGGTAATTGAAGTTTTTGGTATCTTAGTTTCTTTTACGCCATGCCCGCTTCTTGCTGAATTCATGAAACCGGTAGGGTAGGGAAACATGCATGCATACACTCCTCTAACAAACGTATTGCACCATCTCGTTCAAATGGTGCCACATTTGCCAACGATTCAACCATACCGAACTGTTGAATGCATGATTTGGGTGAAATAGGCGTACTTTATAGCAAAATTTGGCGGGAATTTCTTTCAAGATCTCTCTCTCTCTGACGACATAGTTGAATCACAGTTAGAATTGTATCAATTTTTGCACAAACGTTTTTGTTTTAGAAATAAAGACCACACCTAAAGGAGAAAAAATATCAAATGAAAGGTGGCTGTCGCTATTAAAAGTTGTTTAATTTTTGAAAAAACTAGATTGTTACACAAAACGATTGTTACAATCAAAAAATTTTTTTCGAGAGTATTCAGTTGCAAAAGAAGCCAGTAACTGAACTTGATGTTAGAGCAGATAGAACTTGTCTGTTTCACTTCACAGCATTTACATCTAGGGGCTCTAAATCTAGGTTGGAATCCATGTGAAAATCATGCCGGACATATGCCAATAAACAATAGAAAGACAATGGGATATCGTTAGTATATGCTGGATATCTTCGGCGTAAACTACATGGATTCCAAAATGGCTCTAAATGACATAAAACTTGACGCTGAGCAAGGTTTTTCTGCTCAAAATCCTTCCAGACAAATTGTAATGAGTTTCTTACACAAATACAAAATGAAATGTTACTTGAGTAAAAGAAAACCAAGATTTATTTCCAAACAAATGAATTCCAGTTTTCCCATGGTGTCCATCAAGTCCAGATTTTAACATAGTTGAAAATATTTGGCTTTGTATCAAAAAATTTACCAACCATGGTTCAAATGGTTCTTTAAAGAATCATTAATTAGAATAATTCTTCAGGCTCGACATGAGATTTCACAAGGAAGCACTGCCCAGTTATATGCAACTTATGATAAGTCATGCAACTATATGCAACTTAGAGTCATGATAAAATGGATTGGGTATACCCTAAGTGCCAAAATCCGCTGAGTCATGATTTTCATGAATGCCATGCTATTGCTTGACCTGGAACTGGTCACATGAACTCACCTCGTACTGATTGACAAAACATTTTCCATCAATAGCAAGTTGTCAACAACGGATGCAAGTATCACATGAAACACCAGCGATCACGCCGAAACCAAATGACCTCCTATAGAGAGGGCCTATTTACCATGACTCAATGCCTTTAAGTATTCGCTCTAAGCAGATTAAAGTTTTCATTGGTGGCTGTTTTGCTTTCATGTGCCATTTCCTCTGCTCTCGAGTTGGTGCAATACTTTTGTGAGGGGAGTGTACATACATTAATTATATTGTACATGTTATCTCAAGTCAGGTTATGAAATATTTGACGAAAATCCTTTCACTCAAAAGCCGCTTTGCACCGATCTGTAGCAAGGAAGAATAACCAGTATTTTAGCAAGTGTTAGATACAATTATGTCAGGTTGATTTGTGGTTTTCTGGATATCATCTTTTTCTTGATAAATCTCAGAATGCATAGTGGCTTGATAACATTTTGCCTAAGCCTAAATAGAAGGCACATCATTCAAAGCAACAGCTGTGACCTCTCATCCAGCGGAAGTAAGAAACAAAACATAATTTGAAAAGTTTAATGCCTTCCCTGCTCCTGTAAGGCTGAGACTTGCAGAGTCTCAGAAACCTGTTTTGGCAAATATTTTGAGTTAGTGCATGTTTTTTGAGGTGGAGATAGTGGGCGCTTAGTTAAGGGTGAGCACTTTTTGTCAATTAAAAAAACAATTAAACAAAAACATGTGGACCATTCATTTTTATTAACCATTCAAATTTTACAGCGAAATTGAAATAGCCTTGCGATTTATTACAATATCTCTTGCAAGAAATTCAAAAGCTCTTAAAACTCCAGGAGTTTTGATGGTAGCATGCAGGATCATTATTGAGTGTTGTTGCTTGCTAAAGGTTACTAAGGTGGTCCTTATCCAACTTGCCAGAATCCTGCACCATGGTAGCTTTTTGATGTGTCATTGTACAAGCTCATATTGATGTTTATTTTGTAATAGAGCTTGGAGTTTTTAAAGCAAAAGGCTGATGTAGATCTGTTGATTGTGCCAACAACCAGAATGGGGGCGGTTTCTTCCACACTGAAGGCTTTTGAGTGAGTTGGAGATTATATGCTGTGATATACTTTGATATGCCGGAAATAGAAATACTTGCTCTATCTCTCACATCATTGCACCAGCCTAGAAGACACACCAGCACCAGAAATTTTAGGCTTGACAAATATGAATCCAACCCTAAATGCCTAGGTTGTTATTCTAGAAGGAATACCCTCTGACTTCACTTTACTGTATTTATTTGCTATACTGATATAATGGACAGCAAAATTAGCTATAATAAAAAAGTAAATTATATCAATTTGTATATTTATATTGTAGATTCATATTGAAAAACAAGATTCCTGCCAAGATGTCTATTCAAATCAAGATATAATTGACATATCCACTGATGTGTTGCTTGGTGTTGATGATGTAAGTTGTATTTCAGATTTTTTTATGAAATTGTGTTTTAATCATTTTTTCTTCTCTATAACACTAAAAAAATCCAAAACTCAAATTGATAATTGACATAACGACATAACATAAAAACATAACGTTATCAAGTTGTCTCCACACCCAACATTACAAATATCCCTATTCTTTTCAAAATACACTATGAATACACAATACAGCACAACACAGTACAAAATGCAAATTATGTATATATCATTGTGACAGTTCAGGACCATAGAATGCAAAAATAGCAGATATATAGCAGATATAGCAGACAATGATCAAAGATAATTCACTGAAATCGTTTAGTTTGATTAGTGTAGTTTTCTTCATTTCTTTAAAAGAAGTGACAAAATGGCATTTATGGAACAGAGGCTAATATCAATTGGTTAAGCAGTATGGTAAACATGAGCTCTTATTTCAGAAATAAATGATTCTCACACTAAAGTCCCAATTTGACCATGATATATATATCAGCTTCCTTTGAACAGGTATTTTGTAAAACCTTGAAGAAAGTCTCAGATTTGAAGCGAAAGTAGCCTGATAACCAAACCCCAATTTCAGGGTCTGACCTGATAAGCAAACCCTAATTAGGCTATAGAGAAAATTTGAAATGGTACAATGGGAAAAGTGTGCATAGGAGAGGTCTTGCTGGAAATAAAAATGAAACTTGAGGAAATATATAAACAAGACATGACTTTTACCACACTGCTTGCCTTTCAAATGATTGAAGCATCTGTTCTGAAAGATTTCCACAATCTATTACATTTCAAGGAGATTTGAAGAAATAACGATAAATTCTCTAGTGTAGACTAAGTGGCTCTGCCCATGCAGAGGCTGCCCCTTTTTTGTTCTGAATTGCAAAGGAGTTGCTTCATGAATCAAGTTCTACGCAAGTTGTGCTCAAATTTTGACATTTTAGGTGGAAGACCAAAATGCAATTTGACAATTGATTTATGAACACCTCGTTACCTAATCATACTTCCTCATTTGTCTACTTTTTATCTCAATTCCACCATTTCCCTGGTGCTGTGAACACTCTTGCTGTGAAAGCTGTTATCTTTTATTTCAAATGTTGGTAAAGTGTGGTAAAACGTGGATCGCAAAATGTGAAGATCACAATATGTGTCTTTATGAGGTGTAGTGCATTGTATGATTTTTGTGTCAAAAGCAGCTGACGCTATTTGTTGAGTATTTCATAGAATTGTTTTGCAAAATATTTCATAGCAACTTTAATCTTATTCCACAGCCAATCTATCAAGTGTATGCAAAGAAAATTGCATCAGTTGTTTTCAAGGAGACAAAAAAACCTATTCTTCTTGCAATTGCCTTGAAAGACAAAAGCCCACCCAGCATTCCACTCCTGTCTGGCCTCGTTTTAAAAAACAATGTATGGTCATATTGAGGCACAGACTTAACTGTCCTTGGAGCAACCAGTCTAATGCAGATATCCTAGTATAATGAAGACCTGGCTACAGTATATACGGCTAAAGGTATCAACTGTTTAACATGTTGCATTGAGATACCCATTGTCAATACAGGGTTTTGGCTGTCATCCTAAAATGCTGATATGTAGCTGTGTTGCTTGGTTGCTTCTTATTTCATTTTGAATGAGAAAGTGATTCGTCAGGGACTCTTCATGACAAATAACAGTTTCACATTCTTCTGTTTGGAGGCATTGAGTCATGGTAAATAGGCCTTCTCTATAGGGGGTCATTCTGCAGTTTCATATGATAAAGACATCAATTGTTGACAACTTGCTGTTAATGGAAACTGTTTTTTTTAATCAGTACAAGTTGAGTTCATGTGACCAGTTCCAAGCCAACCAATTGCATAATAGCACTAAAATCATGACTCAGTAGATTCGGCACCTCGGGTATACCCAATCCATTTTATCATGACTCATTGTCTTTAGATACATGTCACAATCACACTTGCAGATTTTGTGATTTTGATCACTCTAACCATAAAGACAACAATCATAACAGGTACAACTATTTATAACTACTTATGATATTTGAATGTTGATAAATAGATTGTAGAGATAGCTAGTAGAGATTAAATGTTAGTAACATAACTGCTTGGTGTCTATCAGTGTTGTCATAAGTGTTCAAAAGTATTTTGATCAAATGAACTACAGTGCTTGATACATGGTAAATGTTGAAATACATTGCTTAATAGTTGTTATAATAGATGTTTAATTTATTTTGCAAAAAAAATTTATGATCTGGTTTCTTTAGCTCTCTATTAGCTCTGTTGCTTTACACTTGATAGCATTTTTTATTGTTTTGGTGGGTTTTGATACAAGATATATCTTTGTCATCAATATAAATAGGTTATAGTTTGAGTATTTCATGTACTAGGTCGTGCAAGGTTTGTCTATAGCCATCAACTTTGATTTTTTACCAATGGTATTGGTATAAGCAGTTGAGAAGGTTATAAAAATTGGTGTTACAGAAATATCAGAACAGTTGAGACTTTTGGCATCAATTATGGGGATATTTGACAAGAAGAACCCTATGAGGTCATCAACTTCTACTTTTTGCTGTGGGTATTTTGTCTCTTGTTAGTGTGACAGGTGTAGCACCTCAGTTAGAAGTATTAGAATACCCATGGTGACTGGTTGGATACAATGTTGCTTTTATGATTAGCACATAGCTTTTATATCAAAGAATGATAAAGGAAGTCCATGGACAGTCTTGGGTGCTGGTAATACGTAGCCTCGCTTTAAATGTCAGTCTCTGCGGATGCGCCTTCAGTTGTGCTCTCTGTAATATACTTCTTCTTGCCTTTCACCTTGCGCCAAGCTCCCACAACAAAGCTGTTGACGTCCCGATGCATTCTAGCATAGATAAATGGGTTGGTGCAGCTGTTGAAAAGGACAATGATGACCGAACATTCGTGCAAGACAACAACTGCATCGGATTTGTTGTCGATGTATCTGAACAAATCGATGATCGAATGGGGAATTGTAAAGATGAAGTAAAGGCCAACGATTATTATGAACATTTTCACCACCCTCTGGTTCTCTTCACGTCTCCGCATTGCTGTCTCGCTTTTGTCTTTGATAACAGCTTGTGATTTCAACTTTTTGATGCTCAAGGTGTACAAAACACTAACGATGATCAAGGGGATGATCCAGCCAAGGCAGGTCCACACCATCAAATATATTTTGTATCCTTCGTCAGATATTCCAAAGTTCATTCGCCAGGTCAGGGGAAATTTGACGCAAGCTGCAAGGACCCATGAAAATACGGCTGTAGCAACCTTTTTGGTCATGGATATTCTTTGCCATTTTATCAGTTTTGTGATTGCCCTGTAAATGTGAAGAGAACGTCAATATTCTGATGTTAGCTACTATTTGATAAATTTCAGGTATCAATTTTGCTTTTGCTTTTGCAAAGGTTAATGGAAGTGAAACATTAGTTTGCAGATAGGGCATTTTATGGCAGGCAATGCAGGGCATGATCGTGTTCTGTGGAGGAGCACCAGCACCGTTTCTTAGCTACAATCGTGGAGATGATATACATGAATACATACACTTTATAAATATAAAAACAAATTATGCTCAGTACTTCAGGCGCTCACCCTTACAATCTACTATTAGCTGCATTCTTTTGTTCATACTTTCTATAATACTGTTTATTGTGGAGACTGGTATTTCATTCAGGATTCGCCTAATTCTGTTCTCAAAAGCTTCAATGCTTTCAACAGTAATGTTATTGTCAATGGCATCTTGACCAAGCATTCTTTTTGCAATGCCGAAGAGATTTTCTATCGGATTTATGTCCGGACTCCTAGGAGGAATTGATAACAATTCTGAGTTTAGTTCTCTCATAGCATTTAAAGCCAAAGCGCTGTTCTGCGAAGGGTCTCCATCCTGAATCCAACATCTAGAGTCTTTTCCTGCTGCAGCTACCATTTTGTCAAAATTATCGAGCAAAAAGTTTTTGAAAAATTCCCCATTCATCTTGTCGTATCTTTGGCAGCAGACCACGCCTTTATCATAAGAAATTGTCACTATCAGCTTGACATACTTGCCACCAGTTCCACATGATCGCCCTTTGGAAGTACATCCCCGGAATAACCCTTCGTGTTTAGCCCTCCACACTCTCCCACCGGGTGCTAGCGCTTGATCTTTAGGATTTCTTTTATAAACAAAACCAACCCCATCTTAGTAGAATGCCACTCGTTTAGTCCAAATGTCTTCATGATATTTTTTGAGCATGGATTTCGCAAATTTTGTGCGCTTTTTTTTGTCGTCATTACTGAGCAGTCCTTTTTTCCTTGCTTGCAAATAGTTGTACCCGGACAGGTTTAGGAACCTTGAGACAGTACGTCGCGAAACATCTTGCACATCTGCTCTTGCCATCAGTCTTTTAACGGTCCAGTTTGCGTCTTCTTTTCTCAAAACCTTTATTGTTCTTATTAGTTTTCTCTTATCTCTTTTTGACATTTTCTGTGGCCTTCCCCCAACACCTTTACGTGATTCTTTTGCGTTGCATTTCAACATCGGCTTTTTCCATATACGATAGATGGTAGATCTTGATACTCCAGTTTCACATATTAATTTCTTTATGTCGGTATGCTGTTTGAGTTTTAGCTGCAATCTTTCATATGAAAATAATTGAAAATGTTCTTAACAACAGATAAACCCCCATACATTAAACGTCACAATTTATCGTTTTAAATCTTAATCATCCAAATTGAAATCGAGACTCAAGCCTCCTTTTCAATCAGATAGCCAAGCCATAACTGAAGTCAATACGTCATTAGAAAATAACGATAGTAGCATAGCCATTCATTTCAACCCATAGACAATCGTGACCAAAACTCCTTGACACTGATTTAAAAATTCGGCATGCTATCAATTGTTCCCAAGAAAAATCAGGACATATCAATTTCTCCCCTCCCCCCTATATCAATGTTGGTGTCGTTTGAGAGCTAAATGTCCAAGCATTCGATTTAAGCCCATACAAACACCCCAACATTGATGTAGGGGGTAGGGGATCACGTTGAATAAGAACCCAATTGCATTTGGGAAGCAGTCTCACGAGTTTTGGCCAGGATTGTAGATTCCCCAGTAATCAGCCTCGCTCCCAAACCCCAAATTCATGATCAAAAGTTTCTTGCATATTTCATTTGCCGTTTTGTCAAATTCGTTCTTAAATTCATGCGACCTTGAAACTGCAATGCTTTTAGCTCAAGTTGTTGTCATTTTGGCGCGTTTTTAGCATTGAAACAGTCGAAGGTCTATTGCATGTAAAGTAATACTGGAAGGATTTGGGAAGAGCAATACAGTATCTTTACTCACCAATATCTGTCGATTGAGATCAAAAGGAGCTGCCAAGACGAGACCATTAAAGTTGTGTAGAACACAAAAAAGAAGGCTGCCTGAGTGCCGGGCTGGAAAAACCATGCCGAGTAGGTATAGCTGTGGTATGTGATCATGTGCAGTGGCCAAATGATGCAAGCTATAAGATCAGCGATTGCCAATGAGACAATGAATACATCACCCTTTTTGAGTTGGCTTTTGCGTCCTGAAATGAAAAGTATGGAGGAGTCAAGTAAAATAAAGATGTTCGCAGAAAGTCGGGCATAAATATTTAGCATATCTCCTAGATTGTGTAAACTTCATTCAGGATCGACTCTAAATTTGCGCTGTTAAAAAGATATGAAACTATAATTGCATGCATAAACTTAATTTTAATTCACGTTTACAGAAGTTTCGCTTTTCAAATAAAGAAAATTCTGTCCCTAGAGGGAAACGCCAACGAAGCAGAAAGCGTTGTCGACGCAGTGAAAAGTAAATCTTATCACGGATGTGTGTAATAAATATTTAACAGGTAATTAAATCTAATTTATGATAATTTAGAAGGTTATGATAAATATCTGCTTACTATGTTACGTCGAATGACACTCACCAAGAATAAAGCAGACCAGGGAGTTTCCAGAGGCACCAATTATGAACACCATAAGGTAAATGATGACGAAGAATGCATGAACGCCGGGGGAGAGGATGCTGAGGGAGGGGTGCTCAAAACCCCCCGGCTTGGATGGTTCTGTTTCATTGGTAGTATTGCTCACAGTCGATAGAGCTGTTCCATTAGCTGAAAAATAAATTTCTTTTGTCATAAACAAAAACGCCAGCAATCTAATTTCGCATGGGATTATAACCGCGGTACAATGTTAGCCTCTTTTTCAAGTGTAGAAGCCTATTTTTGGCTGTTAGACACTCTCTCAGTACACCGAAGCATGATTTGCCAGAGAAATAAGTAAGGACACGAAACGCCTCAAACGAAAAACTAGAAGAAAATACGCAAGATGTTGTTTGAAAATTTTCTGCCATGTTTACGTAACAGAGCAGATTTTATCATCCAGTTAACCGTGCTAATGAAAATGTCATACAAAACTGTCATTTGTGGTCTTAGAAACAATTTATATTTTATGGCTGTATAGAAATCAGGGTTGAAATAAGAATGACATTAACAACATTTCAGCCCTTAATTATCAAAAAAATAAAAAAATTGGGTCAAAATTCATCGGTTCTCATAAAAAACGAGAATCGTTGTTGATTACTCTTAGCTGCATGATAAATAGGGCCTCTGCATAATGAATAAATGTCTTGTTTTTCCCCAAATCCAATACGGAGCTTATTAGTGAGCTCTGTTTATCGATTTTCACGTTTAAAAGTAGATATGAAATATATTAGCCTCACAAAAATGAATTTTGACCAAGATTAGATTTTTGAGTGTTTATCTTTGTTGCTACTTTCACATGCACTTGTTGTGATTTTACAAAATTCTTTGCTCTCAAATTCATCCCTCCTCCTTATAAATTTCAAGAGAAATAAACCCCCTTGATTATTACACCCTGCAATGTCATCTTTGGCAGGGGCGTCGCGACTGGGCGGTGTGGGGGTGTCACACCCCCCCAATAGTATCTCAATAGGAAATTTCAGGTAAAATCCGCTCGGTTGAAGAAACGCTTTAGGTATTTTAGAGACCTTCATGTCATAAAATCAATAAAGGATCAAGCAAAGGTAGTTGTTTTGTTGGTTAAATATGATATTCCTTGATATGAATGAAGGTAAACAAGCTATTGATTTGAATATTTGAAGATTTCTTGTTGGCACTAAATCGAAAAATTCCAGGCCTCTTTAGGTAAAATTGCGTCTGGTATCCATTTCCCCTTAAGGTTTTCGGTAGAAGCGCCAACTGCAATTCACTATGAGCTCCTGATGTATTTTAACATTCAAATGGTATGCTACAATTGAAAGAGGGATCTTAATTGACAACCAGTGCTTCTTGTTACCTAGCTTTAAAAATAACTGACAACATGGTATTTTTCAAGACCACGGCGAAGTTGTACCAGATGTCTTTATCTTGAAAAAAGAACTTTCGAAAGGATTAGGAGGGTTGCTTTAGTGAAATGTGCTTAAAATATTCTATTTTCCAGGGAACTAGAAGCATCAAAATTCGAAAATTTCCTGCTCATTCGGCGGCAACCAGTGCCGCCTCGGGTAGTAACTATGTATGCTTGTCTGTTTCGATATAGAGATTTGACAAAACTACTAGGAAAATTTCGTTATTACCAAATTAAAATGAAAGTTGCGAATTATATACAGAGTTAGATTGACAAAATGCATTGCAGAGGTTTGTGACAGCAACTAAAGAATTTCAGGCAAAAAGTTTTTAATCAGGTAAATTTGTAGTCCACACCCCCCCCCCCCCAACAAGGCTTGCCTCGCGACGGCCCTGTTGGTTACTCTTTCTTTCTCAAACATTTTAAAGTAATATGGCAAATTCCAAATATTTGAACAGCTGCCTTTCCTTTTCGAGGTTTATCAATGTTTACTTCAGGCAAGTTTAATCATGTTTGAGGCGTTAATTTTGTCTTCTATCCACAGCCGCTTTTGTAAGTCATTCGTCAACAGAAATGTTTTATGAATTCCAAATTTTTTTCTAATAAAACACATTTTTAATTGCACTGTGATAACACGGCTTTTGAAAAGGATTCGTCCCAACCGGGTTGTATTGTGAAAACGCTAACTGTAAAGTGTGCATAATTTTACTACAATCAACGCTGTGTCCGTGGTGCGAGTCCCTGGCATGACCAAACTTCTAAACAGATTAATGATCAGAACACTGCTCGATAACCATCAGTGTCCTGAAAACTACCTTCGAATGCTAGGTAGAAACTGCAAATACAAATACTCTCTGTAATTCCAACTCACTGAGGGATTGTTAAAATGTTGGAATTACAAAATGTTCGATTATACAAGTTTTTAAAAAAAATCGTGGATTTTATTACATTTTTGTATAAGTTTTCGTTTTATAGCCTTTATCCATATAATCGCAACTTGGACAACAGTTGAAAATATTGTCGCTAGCACGTATTCTATTGACTGTACGGCATGAGGCAAGATTCTTCGAACTATGACATTTCAACCCCCCCCCCCCCCCACCAATATTGAAAAAAGACTTGAATAACAGCCAAAAACCTTAAATAACATCAATTTTAGGAGAATCTAATGAGGTAGTTATATCACCTGATAATTTCTTAAAATTCGCAAAAAAGCTAGAACTAAAATGGTTGCTTGCCTATGGGGACCTGTAAATTTGTCGAATTACGAAAAGTTCGAATTAGGGATGTTTTTTGTAAGGACTTGGCAAGAGATTGTCAAGTGACCTAGAAATTTTGTTCCAATTACAAGACTGTAGGTTCTCGCTGTGCTGTTTTTGCTTTCGTTTCTTATTTTGCTTATAAAATGGCTTTATTCTGACGTTTTATGCTCTGAGGAGTGTCCGACGAAAAAGCTTTTAGCAAATATGTTGTAAAATGTTTGCTTTTTTCAAAGACATTTTCAAGTTCTGTACCGCCAAAAAACTGTTCATAATTTGCTTATCCATTTCGCTTCTCGTTTATTCTCAATTCTTGTTTCAGTTGAAAGAATACAGCCGTCCAAATAAGAAGAAAAAACAAAGTGCCAGTAGTTGGTGTTCTTTTATACATCTGCTGATTGTTTATGTAGGAAACTCAGAGTTGTGTTACAATAGTCTGTTTATTTTCGTCTAACTATATTCATATATTTAAGCGAGTGTCTTTATTATATATATATGTTTTAGTCTAACTTATCGCTCTGATAAGTTGAGCACTTCAGACAGCAATATGATAATTATGATAACATAGAAATATGTGTATATTTATATATTTAGAAGTATCCTTTCGTCAGCGGAGATAGCAAACTTTTGGCAGGTAGTAAATGAAAATAGCTCCTTGGCAGACGTTACGTTCAGATAAAGCATATGACCGTTTGTTTACTACAATGACGGTTATGTGATTTTTCTTACATATAAAGCAGCAACCCCTTTTCCTTCTTATGTTTGTAATTACAGGGAGCGAAGAAATGTTTTCAAAAATAGCTGCCCTGGAAAAGAATCCGGGGCTGTGGTAGCTGCACATTTTTATGAATCCGCCTGTTTCGGAAAACCTATCTATCTTTTTCTCTTTTAGTTCATTCCATTCGACTTTCCAGTTCAGTTACATTTTGAAATTGCCTCATTCAATAACAAACGCCTAGAGTTCCATTTGTGAAATAATGTATCAAAATAGCACTGAGTAGTGACTTCTTTCCAGGAAAACCCGGTTAGTTGCGTCTAGCCATTTCATTTGGATGTGATCTTTGCCTCAGGTAGGTTTTTTGTTCCTGTTATAGGAACTTTGACATCACGTTTCCAAGTAGAATTTTTCCGTTGGTTTGACAGTTAGGAGTTTGACAAACAACTTGCCACTAGTATTCTTGGAAATGAATGTAGGAATTGACAATAACTGGCAATTTTATTTAGAACAACAAATGGCTTGAATTTTGAACAAGAAATTTCCCGTTTCCTAATGCTCCTATAATCCCTGCCAAATTTCTCGAAACACCAAAGTCAGTTTTGGAGCTCAAAGTTAAACATCCCTCTTTCCCCCTGGCAACAATTCCTGTTTTTTATAACACGCAGTAAAGATTACTAAATACTTTTTCATGTGACGTCTTTTTTATAAGAAAGTATTTTATAGGAAAGTTGTGCTCGGTTCTTCAAAAAGTTAAGAAAGTTCAGGGCTGGATCTTTGAAACCTAAGAAAGTTGAAAAATTTAGATATTCAAAATTTCAAAGGAAATTATGGTGTAAGAGTGTAATCTTTAAACAATACAGTGATGTGCTGAACAGGAAACGACGAATACAGTATGATGTTGAGGGTTTTTGAGAAAAATAGCATATTTACAGCATTTCATCTTCTCCATCACTGCGCATGCTTATTTAACGTAAAACTTTCCAATTTTACGTTAAGAAAGTGTTAAGAAAGTTTAAGTGCTGAAATTAGGAAGCGACTAAGAAAGTCTGAGGGCTGGGCTGAAAATAAATTCTTATAAAAAAACGTGTAATTCATCAACATTGTTCTAGGGGAAAGCGGTGCTGAAAGGTAGTAATTTTAACAAAAATGAATGAAAGATATAAAAATAAAACACCAATTGCTTTGTGTTCCAAGTAATATAAAGCAGGCATTGTACCATCGTCTGCTTTTTCATTAATAAGGAAAGGTGAGCAGGATCTCTTGGCTCTAGCCTAAAATTCTCCCTCGCGCCAAAGATATTTGGGGCCAGGATTCTAGCAAAAAATTACTTTGGAAATATTTTTAAAACGTATGCCGTGATTTCAAATGCTGTTCGTGCAAATGATGATGGATGTGAATGCTTCTGTTTTGTCATTTGAAGTTTAAACTAAATTTGCTTCACATATAATTAGAAGCAGCTAAGAATTTCCATACATGCTTTCATGTGCAGACGCAGTGTACAGGACCTTCTTCAAAGTATTGAGTAAATCCTGCCAATTGTGAAGAAAATTGGCAAACCTAAATTTCCATTTGTTATTCATTTGAATTTTTCTAACAACGTTTTACAATGCCAATGCAGGATCAATATGTGAATAAAAAACAGGCTTTAGACAAAAGAATCGTTCTGCAATTTATTAGTTGTTTGCAAATCCAAATTATGTCTAGCAATGAAAATGCAAAGTCGTGCTTGTTTTTGCTTTCTGTGTTGATTGGTTTGAGGAAAAGCTAT